AATAAATGAATAAAGAACTGAAAATGAATATCTACTTAGTGCAGCTAGTTACAACAAAAATTAATGGTACTGACAATAAATTTTATTATTAAGTTAGCATGGTGGTGGAGCTAATCTCATGGAATTTTGAGACAGATGCAGGTTGTACAAGGGAGGGGGTAGTGCATTCCAGGTTACTGGGAGAGTGGTGGGAAAGAATGAAAAGTTATGCAAGCTCACTGTAGAGTAGTAGTGGCGAAACATGTCAAACTTAGTGTTTTTATTTCACTTTACATGTAGATGCATTGGTCAAGTGCAGTGGTGTTAATAACGTTCATCAATGTAGATTAGTTCATAGAAAGTGCGACGTACGGATTTTCATTCACGAGTTGCAAAATTTTGGAAAACGAACGAGTGAGAGCAGCGAACAAGCGAGGTTTCCAAAGTTTTGAAACGAGTGAATTAAAATCTGTACTAACTAAGCACTTTTTGTGCTGTAATTTGTTTATTGTATGAGCTTATAGCGGGAATTAAACATATCTTTCAAATCAGGTTTTGTTTTTCCCGATACCATAAGCTTACAGGCAGAAAAACAAAAAAGTCAAGACTGTTCTAAATGACCGAAGAATTCGTAAATACAAAGTGTGAAATCTTTTCGCTTGTCTCTAATCACTGTCACTGTCAGTCATGTAATGGCGGCCCTACGCGCTGTGCGAAGACTCTGTTGACTTACACTGTTTATAGAAATGTTGAATGTTCCTCCTGGAATGTTGTTGGCTTCCTGATGTTAAATTTACTTCCGCAGCTGTTTTTCGAAGGTGAACTAAAACGGGAACCCGAAGCCATATTTTTGAAACACAAACTTCAAGCGGGCGCTAATTTGAAGACTGCGCTTCTCGGAAGCAATTTGAGTGCTTAACTCTGATTGGCTAAGTGATTCTGCTCTGGACGGCGATTGGTTATATTTTTCACATGTGAAGAATGCTGTTCGCGAAGCTGATTGGACGAATCNTGCGGGACACGGCGGGTAGTCCCGAGCGGGCAAGATAGCTCCATCTTGCCCGCTCGGGTAGCCAATCACAACACAGGATTTGATTCATCTTGCCCGCTCACGGGGCTAGCCAGTAATAAGAGAAAATATAGCATATAGAAATCTGTTTGCAAAGTTTATTCCCTAAAATTCTCGCTATATACACAATAAATAGATGAATTTCATTTACCTTGCAGTGTATACGTTCTGTAGCAATGTTGGGTACTGTTCCAGAACAGATTGGAAATGCACATGTTGGAATTAAATTTCAGAATCATTTTTATTATATGTGCTTTTCCTAGCTGTGATGATGTTTCAGTCCAGGTAGAAAATCAAAAATATGTAGAAATCTTGGAGTTGCTTGGTCTGTAGTTTAACACTATCTATGTACGTATTTCTGACATAAACAACAGTTTACTAGTAACTTGCAATGCTTTCAATTTGCACTAGTTGTTGACCAAATTGACCCCCAAAATATCACTCTTTCCTCTTGTTCCTGGCCTTCTCAGGAATTTGCTTTCTGCCCCGATCGTTTCCACTTTCTTTGGCCTCCCTTTCCCATGAGAGTAAAGTTTGTCAGTTTACCAAGCGTTGTTTATAGTAACAATATAGTGAGTCTCTTACTTGCCTTCCCTAATCCAAACAAAGCTTCTAATTTTTCTCAGTTTTGAAGATCCCTTAATGATTACTTCCTATAATATTCTCATACTTGGTACTGAGTTTGACTAACGCTCTTTGTTTTATAAGAATCCTTTTTTTCTTTTTTTCCCTTTTTTAATATGAGAATAAAACGGTTAAATCAGCGAATTTTAAGAGTATATTAAAAACATGGCCAAAGCTGAGATTTAAAAAGAACATTTTTCTGTGTTGATGGAAAATAAATTCAATAAAATTACTTGTTCTTATTTTACCATTGAAAAGTATGCAAATTCCTTTCCTTTTTTAACAAAACTAGTTAACAAAACGATGAAAGGTATTATACGTACAAGGTAAAGTAATAAGGCACGCGTGCAATGGAACATGACACACATACAGTTGTATTTGATAGTTCAATTCCTGGTCCATCCGTTATATTTAACTTATTTTATTTTTAATTTATTTAACTGAAATCCACGTACTAATTCAATCACTGTATTTTTGTCCGGAAAAAAAAGTTGTTGGGTGGCAAGGCAATGAAAATTTCTCTCATAAGCATCAATTATAGTCTCAAAACTGGTAACCTTACTAACCTCACCACACTCTTGAGTTGTGGCATCCATTTTTTTCTACCAATTTCGTCTTGATTGAAATGTCACGTGACAGGGCCACAATGGTCACGTAAAAGATCAGGGGCCCGAAAAACAAAACCAACAACAACAACAAAAACAAAAACCTGCCGTTGCTATTTTCCGGGAGACGTGGTCTGGACCCTACTTTTCCACTCCCCGCCATGAGAGTTACAAGCAACACCGCACATTTTCATTGTTTTTATTAACAAAATATTTTTGAAGAAGATTTTATATTTTTTTTCTTTCAGAATTAGACAGAAACATCTGATGGCGGACTTCTTATCTGTTGGATAAGATGAGTCAGTTGAGCTTTCCCTCAACAAGATGTGAGTTATAAATATAGCGTCCTTATTTTTTTGTACAGTTTTAAAGACTTATTGCTTCAGCTTGGTTTTGAAAAGATCTTTGGAGATAGCATTACATGGTAATCAAGAGTTTCATTCACGTCTTCAGCAGGAGGACAACGTGTTTTCACGGGTGGACGGAACTTTTTGAACTGAACTTCTTTATAAGAAAAACTCTCCTCTGGGCGGGCAAAATAATCCTCGCAGCCGGTCAATTTGCCCAGTGCCCAGCCCTTAATGAAATCCCTGGCCGTAGTAAAGTAAAAAAAAATATTTGTCTATGAATGAATGAATGAATGAATTTAGAGTGCTGACATTTGAATACTGTGGAGTTTCAGTTTCCCATTGCTGTTGTTCATTTTGTTGGTGGGGTTACTGAAAACTACGTGCTTTTCCTTTATTTATTCGCCAGGAAAATGTCAACCGATTTGTCTTGGTAATAACTTGATTTGACATTCTAGCCAAAAAGTGTTCTCTCATGAAAGACCCTGTCACTACAGCCATTTAATGGCTACTCCTGTCCTTCAGATAACTGAGCATAATCTGTGATATTTTCTTTCCGTTTGCGGATTCTTGCTGCGACAACGGCGCATCCACTGAGAACAAAAGCCATCAGACATGTGGCTACTGCCGCTGACACAAGATTATACTTGGCAGAATGTTTCTGCGCATGTGCAACCTGTAAGATAGAACAATAATGAAAAACGTCAAGGCAAGGATATAATCTCGTTTTAGTATCACCCAACTAGTGGACTAATGCAAATCCTGCTTTTTGATTGGCTACGCTACTAGCGGATTATTAGTAATAGTCCTCGAGTAGCGAAATTGGCGCAATCGAGCGTGACCCTTTCTTTCGTTTTATTCCCCAATAAATATTTCTTCAACTTGCATTTGCTAACTTTATTATTGCCTTTTTTGTCCGACTAGTTGGATGATACTAAAACANTAACCTTTCCCTTGGATGAAGCTTGTTTCTGTAACTCTTCCAGTTCAACAGTATCCGCTCTTCCTTCTGCAGGGATTGTTAGTCTTGCATCGTCGTGTGTGTTTTTGTTTTTCTTATCATCCTCTTCTTTAAAAAACTTCTTTAGATGCGCTTTCTTTTTCGCAGACGCGTTCCCGGAAGTTGAATTATCAGTGGCTCCGCTCCCACTACCCTGATTCGTAGTCTTCCCATGATCCACTGCATCATTGGTAATTTGAGCTCCCTTGGAGGCTGCCGGCAAGAAAACAAAATCATCTAGTTATGAGCTGCATGATGTGGGTTTTCAACCAAGAGAAGATCAAGGTAAAGTACCTGGATCTTCTCTTGTTTTCAATTGATGAACTAACTTGATGAAACATCATTTCTTTGAAAATATATTGATATAAAAGCAAAAATCTCTGACACAGTTTAGACACCAGTTTAAAAGATCAAGTTTTCCCATTCCCATTAATAGTGGTACTATGCTTCATAAATGCAAAGGAACCGACTTGCTTGAAAAAAGAAGGACATTTCACCTGCTTGTACGTGAACAGCTTTGTATAATCGCTTTACAAACGCCACCACTGGCTGCCATTTGTTGTTAAGTGCGGGCGCAGTTGCGCAATGATTGGTTGTAAAGCAAGTGACTGAGTAGCAGTTCTTTCCCGCCAAAAACGCGGCCTGGCAGCGATCCAGCTCACAGCATAATAACATACACACTTCCAGGTCAGAAACCTTCCCTAACTTTGTAAAGTTCCCGGATTTGGTGCCATGGAGAAACGTGACGTTGTTCCTGATCTCTCCGGGCTCGCATGACAGGTCACTTGCTTGACTCAAGAAGGAAGGAGACCATCGACTTTTACCTAAAGATAGCAAAATGAATGAAGCTGGGAAATAAACCAGGCGCGAAAACCAATCTAACCTGACAACAGATAGGAAAGTAGGGCCTTTTCTATCTGATTTGTTTCCAGACTTTTTTGTTCAAAAACAAATCCTGGACTGCTTTTGCGCCAACTATTATTTGAAAACTTAACTAGACATTCTACCTTGACACTGGGATGCTACTCGTGAAGTCTGGATTTTCGCGCCTCTTCAAGAAGTCCATTGAGCTTTCAATTTTTTGTGGCATTGTTTATCTTTGTTTAAATTTCCCCAACTTTATGACAAAATTAACAAAAATAGAAACATAATTATAAAGGATCACGTTTAATGTCAGTTGGAAAACGAATGGTGTGCGGAAGCAGATGTCCCACGTTTTGAATACCACAGACTCGCGCACGGGTGGACCGTTTTAAGGAGTATTTTGCCTGCAATTTGTTTAATCTGTACTGCTGAACTTTAAAGATATTTACTGTGCGTTTATTGCTTTGTACGCTCCCTGAAGGGACTACCCTGAAATTTTTACCTTTAGATTTTTACTTTTAAATAAAGGTGTCTATCCATCTTAATAAAATTTCTGTGGTGACACTCTTTTTTACTGATAATGACCGTGAAGTAACTGCTTCGTAAGCTTCTTGTTAAGTAAAACGGGGAGAAACACAGTTTGAGAACCAATTGAACGTGTTGTCTCACCTCAAATAAATCAAAAATTTCAATTTCAGCCCAACCCTGAGGTCAAAGATCTTTTCGTTCTTGACCTGTTCACTATGCTGGCGTCAAAGTTAAGTTTACACATGGTACTTAAGTTGACCCACAATTACTCGTTTCATCATCGGAATTACGCCGACAGTGCCATATGACCTCCGTCGGTGAGCGACCATAGGACTTAGTAGGCCTCTGTGAGCGGCTTAAGCGGCCAGAGGACTTAGATAAAGACCCTTAAATTTGAGAAGGAAAGAAAAGAAAGCAGTCGACAATAGCAATGTTTAAAACTGTTAAACAAGCTGTATTCTAATGACATCGTTTCGCAATTGAAATTATTTATCTCCGTCTTGGCGATGGATGAAAGGGCGACAACCTGTTCTTTGCTATTCAATAACTGCGATATACCAGCCGTTCCAAACCGGCTATTAAATGGTTCATGACAAAGGAATACCTCAATGGCATACGAGTTGACGTGAGAAAATTGAAGCAGGGAAGTTTTGTGAGAGGATGTTTCGCAAGAGGATGTTCCGTGTTATATTGAAGGCAATTCACCTGTTCTCTCGCATCTGATAAACCGGGCTTTCATTTATCTGATCCTCGCTGTAACTTAGAACCTCATATCCCAAACAAAATGGTCAAAGTTTCACTGTTAAACATGACATAAGTCTTGAAGGAACTATTAACCTATTATCATAAAGTACCTGTTGCTATTGAACTCCAGGCATGAGAAATGTACTGTGCTAGAATTAGGATGCCAAGTGAAGCCGACTTCATGTTAATGAACAATGATCAAGTGATTTTCATTTTGTCCCTCGTGGCGACTCTATGGAATAGAAGGAGTAAACAACTTGTGGTTAGTCCTGGTACCTAAAGCAGGGCATGTGCACTTAAGCGAATTATTCATTAATGGAACAGTTGATGGCATTATGAAAAGGGAGTAGGTCACGCTATCGGTTAGTCTAATGGTTTGAAGCAAGAGAACTAAAAACACAACTGAAATTACTGGATAGGGTGAGACTTGACACGGATTAACTGAATATTGTGTAATTAAAAAAAGTGCTCTGCAGTGTTCTTGATCATCTTTGTTGTCTCATGGTGTCGGTTCCAGTTAAGTTTCGTTTTCTCAATGAGTCAATGATACGGCTTTTTATTCGTTCTACGTGACCTAACTTCTTCAAAGAATTCAGAATTACCCCACAACCTCGGCCTGGGGTCTCTATGAGTTGGGAAGTAGTTTAGAAATACCGTAACGTTAGTTTGGTTATAGATGTCAAGCGATTTTTTTCAGTTCAGTGAAGTGTGAGTAAGCATGATTCGTAATCCTAGAGGGAGGAGAAGCCACAGATATCAGTGCTGGCGCTTTTAAAACTTCTTTTTCGGTAGTAAGAAGCGACCGGGTGTATTGCTTATTCGACTAGTTGACCAGGTCACCCATAGCTCCGGTGCACGACATTTACAGACAGACCATATCGTTTCAGTCCCTTTTCCATAATTGAGAGCTAACCATAAACAGGCTAACCTGAGCGCTACTCAGGTTAACACTAGTGATTACCAGGCTAACCGGAGCGCTATTTAGGCCTAAATGTAGTCTGTAGTTTGCAGTATGCAAAGGTCTTACAGCGCCTTTTGCACTAACATTTCTCGGGTCCCCATTTATGCTCGTGGATGGAGACGGGCTCTATGAGAATAATGTATCCGAACCAAGAGCACAGAACAAGACAACAACCACGCCTGCCAACTCTTGGCGGGTAAACCCGGACAGCTTGATATGGACCACAACATACTTGTCATTTGGATACCGAGCTGAACTCGTTATCTGGATTGTTTAGTTTAGCGAACAGTGATATTGTAAAATCGAGCGATCGTTTTGGTTTGCTCGTTAATCTGTACTGTGCACCGCTCGTTAAATTGTGGCCAAGATAGATTCGTGAATTTGTTGTTACTGAGATTGTTTAAATTTTCCAACATTGTTAAACTGATTAAAGTAACCAGGAATACCGAAGTCTTAGTGCTTCACTTTCAGCTCGTGGGATGGAACTTTCATAATATGCAATCGTGTATTTAATCTGTTTGTGGACAAGTTCAAACTTGGAATTTATACATGCAGATAACAGGATAAAATAAGGGTTGCAACGGTATTTTCCACTTTATGAAACTGAATCAAAGCGAGAAACTGTTTTCCATCGCACGTACTTAAATAACCGTCCTCTTTGTGCCGTTTTTAAAAGAGCACAGTCAACTTCCCAGCGAATCAAAGAAAAACTTGTCAACTACCGGCTTTTAACTAGGAAAGAACGATACTTTACTTTACCTGATATACGGGTTAGAATATTCCTCCTTGTCTCTGGTCGGACGCGCCCGTAGAAAACGCCCTTTGCATTTATCATCGATGCCATTCCGTTTTCAGTGTTCTTAAGCCAACACCCCTAATAACACTGGCTTCATGTGGCGTGGCTGGGGGGAGGAGAGCTTTCACTGGCTGTCACGTGATGATTTTAGGACATGCACGTTTGGCGGGAAGTGTGGCCACACGCTAAACTACAGGTGCCCCTTTGTCATTTCTTGCTTCCATTTCATCTTTACGTTCGGAGAAGTACAAGCCATGCTTAAGCTTCCAAAACATCGTCATATTTATTAAAGGGGGAACGAATAAACACAAAGCAAACATGAAATCTCGTTTTAAAAAGTACGATTTATTCCCATTTACGACGTTCGCTATACACTTGTTTTACAAACTTAAACCATTGTCAAGATTTCAGACTAATTACAACGTTCAACGCTCATTTCACTGTATGGGTAAAAGATTCGCTTTGTACAACATCACAAGATCTATCTTTTCCATTCTAACCACCTACATGACTAGCAACGCACATCGACAAGACAACAGCTGGTCTCGAAAGTTAAAACACGTTTCATGTAAGAAAATACACATTCTAAAATATTGTACAACGTATAACTACAATATAACTGACTAAACCTAGCCTGATTTGGATTACTGGCGCGTTTCTGTTTTCTTTTTTACCATAAAACATGTTAGTAATCGCTAAGTCCATATCCTTCGTTCAATTCAATTTCAAAGCGAGAAGAATAATGGGCTAAATTGTCTGTGGCATTACTTCTGAGTGATTCAACTCTTGTCCTGAGTGTTTTTGTTTATAAAGTACGAAACGTTTTTCGCAAAGCTAACAAGAATTTACAATCTGTATTAATTGTTTTAGCTCAAAGTGAGATTTAATTTCGTTAAAGATAACAATTCTTGACTTGGCTCTCTCCCAAAAACAAGCTCTCGACTTAAAAGGGGTGGAGCCGACGAACAATGCTAGTTCCTTATTTGGAGAATGAAGTCATGTGACATCATGGCGCGTCTGGCTGTGGGTCATCTATGAGGTCATACGCTGCGCGTGCTCTGTGAGCAAGGATTCTTTTGGTAGCGAACGCAATGGAGGCGGTTCCCACAATGGCGCCGGCTACACCACACCCGATGGCCACAGCTAGGCCAGAACTGGATGCTTTGCCTGTTGGGATCTGAGAAGATGAAATCGCTGTATTAGTCCCAATGCAATAAAACACAGCTTCCACTTCCTAAAATTTATGAAGCATAACTGACGAAACGTTTCAAGTTCAGATCAATTTCTTACAATTTGTGCACAGGTTTTTCAAAGCGAAACATCGAACCATCGTATGAAGTTATACACGAACGCACTTATGAAAGCCAACATGGAAGCTTTTGTTTAAAAGAACATTATAAACTGAGCTCCATACCTTGCTCCTAACTTGCTTTCCTGTTCCTAAATCATCTTCACTCTCTTGTCCTGCAATCAAAAAAGACATCGATCACTGTAACGCTCACAGTCTTATTTACACTGGGTCCAACGCACAGTCACGTTGTTGTTTGTCAAATCTTCGAAAACGTGCTATTAAAGGATTCCTGAGTCTTGCTGTCCAAACACGAAGTAAAGTATGTCACATTTGAACCTAGTGACTGACCTAACTCCCAAAGAGTTTCTCCAAGACTCGCCAAGAGTTCAGTAGTTAGAGGTCCCAACAAGTGTCTAGGAGGTCATGAGTTTGACTCCTGTCGAGGAATCAGGCTTTTTTCTTTGTCCAAAACTCGAAACAAATGAACTTTTCATCCTTATCAAGAAGTAAAGTGGTACAGTCGCTGGCTTGCCAACAACAATTTTGGTACTTTGCTCCTGTCTTTTCTCTTCTCGAGTGAGCATTCTAGCAAGTTGGTCGAACTTCTACTTTAGCGCTCTTTTTAGAGCTATGAAGCGTAATAAAATCAAACTCTGTTGTTGTTATCTTTAGCCAAGAATCCATTGCTAATGTCGGCCAATGCTTACATGATGATCACTGCCGAAATCTGCCCATTTACTTGAGTCACGCAACATACATACCTGGTTCGTAATAGCAGTAGTAAATCTTAAGATTAAATGGGTCCTCACTGGGCCCATAAGGATGTGACCCGCCCGCTGCATCAGTATTGCCCTGATCATCGTCATCAAATTTGATAAACTCGCTTGTGACTTTGGTTCCCGCCACTTTCTGACACTGCGCTGAATCGTACGTGAGCAGATAGAAAGGCTTTAGCGCGGGAAGCTGGATTGGATTGTTAACATTTCCTTTTGTACTACAGCAGTAGTTTATTGTTGTGTGAGATTTTTCGTAGACTCCATCGGGTAAGTCTCCGAAGTGTTTATCTTTGTAGTCTATTTCTGACTGTTCATCGTCCCAGCGGATGAAACCTTCTTTAAGCCCACTAGGACACACCCCTAAAGATAGAAACAACAACAAAAAAGTAAACAGAACTCTTAATTCGTTCTTTAGATATAGCTATCCCACTTGTTTGGAGCTCTGTCTGTCTGTCTGTCTGTCTGTCTGTCTGTCTGTGTGTCTGTGCTTGCCTGCCTTCCGACCTGCTCGTCTGCAAGCGTGGCTGTCTGTCTGTCTGTCTGTCTGTCTGTGTGTCTGTGTTTGCCTGCCTTCCGACCTGTCCGTCTGCAAGCGTGGCTTTCTGTTTGTCTGTCTGTCTGTGTTTGGCTACCTGCCAGCCTTCTCAAATTCGACTGAGTTATTTCTAAAAATCAGTCCCTACACACCGAATTGAATAGTTGTGGTATGCAGTTCTCGGTCTCTTACCTTTCTTGTAGAGGCAGTATTTTCCCTCTGGCCAAATTTCACTGCCAGTGTTGCCATTGTTACCAACTTTCAGGCAGAATTTCTGTTGAATGCCATGGGCTGAGAAATTCCCGGGCATGTGGAAAATGTTTGACCGCTGGTTCTCATTATTGTCGTCCTCTGTGTCGTGATAAGTCCAGCCTGATTTCCAATCAGTGATTCCGTCTGATGGACAGCCTGTGTCAGGCATGGGCAGGCCATACGTACCACCCGGCCATTGAACTAAAAAAAAGACGCCGTAAGGGGTGAACCATTTGACTTTAGAGGGGGGCGGTGGTGGTGATTTGGTACAGGCACATTAAGCTTCTGGTTTTTTAAGCCTTTTATGCACAAGGAAATGTTTTTTCACGGTACGTGTGTATTCATGATATTTTATCTCCACGTAACATGCTTTTTTCAGCTCACTGAACGTGCGTAGGTTTTCAGGAAGTGGTCGCGTGCATGAGCTCTGTTTTGTTACGAATACGCCTGCAGGATATTTTTATTTTTCAAAATCACCCATCCCCGCCTCCTCAAAAGTCAGATGGTCTAGCCCTAGGTAAATATCACTACTTCAGACAAACACATGGTGGTGACAGGCCTATCTCTGTGGCGAACACAANTTTTTAAGCCTTTTATGCACAAGGAAATGTTTTTTCACGGTACGTGTGTATTCATGATATTTTTTCTCCACGTAACATGCTTTTTTCAGCTCACTGAACGTGCGTAGGTTTTCAGGAAGTGGTCGCGTGCATGAGCTCTGTTTTGTTACGAATACGCCTGCAGGATATTTTTATTTTTCAAAATCACCCATCCCCGCCTCCTCAAAAGTCAGATGGTCTAGCCCTAGGTAAATATCACTACTTCAGACAAACACATGGTGGTGACAGGCCTATCTCTGTGGCGAACACAATCAGTCCCTTATCCTCCTGTCCTGTGTGTTTGGTTGTGTTTTTTTACAATGATAAGGGAATTTTGGAAGTGTTCACTACCGAGGCTAAGAAGTCAAACAGCTCCTGCGGAGCAGAATATATATTTTGGCGACTATGTGAGAATTTAGAAATACCCTCTCCCTCTTCCTTTCACTACACTTTATTTTTTAACATTACTGTATTCGCATCGTCAAGTGGACAAACTAAAAATACAAACACAAGAATGTAGTAATTAATGGTCCGCACCTTGGACCATATCACTCAGTGCAGGTACAGAACTCACCTTCAGCTTTCACAGCAGCCAGGAATGCGGCCAACAGCACAAGGCACCAGCACCTCATGTCTTCCCGTGTTCTTATCTCCTGTCAATCACTTATCTGAATACAACATAACAATTTTCGTCTTATAAACTACTTCCTTTAACTTTGTAAAAACCATACACGCTGTGCGTTAAGTTCAATAGAATGAGTACTATTTCAGTTATGTTCTTCAATCTTTATCGTAGGTTTCCAGGTTACAAAAAAGCTGTGATTTTTGCAACTGCTAAAATATAATCGGCAGACGCAAAATATTTTATCCGTGTCTGTTTAAGCATCGATAAAATAAGCAGTGGTAAACACCGTACGCTTTTATGCACGTTATTCTTATTACTATCCGTGGTATTCTATTTACATCAATTTAAAGACTTCCACAAAACCACGTTATTTTAATACACAAATATACTTCGAGACTCGTTCTGGTCCATTTTCTACTCAAAGATATCTTTTTGTGACATTTTAGCAAATTTAAGAAATTTTTGTTTGTCTATCCACTCGACCATTTTGAGAGTAACCGAGCACGTGGAAAAACACGATCATACTAGCCGTCTGTAAGGACCGAGTGAGGTACTCTTGCACACAAGATCGACCTAAATTTGACCAGTTATTTGACTGAGCCAAACTTAAATTTTTTGTCCGTGTTTTTTGAAAAACTCGTTCTCTCTGCGTTGTTTAAAGTGATTGCCACCCGCCCATCAAAACAGTACTTTTTACGGACGATTTCTTCTGAAACGATTCTGTTAAGTTAAAAACCAGCAATATAACTGAAGAGTAAAAAGTGTCTGAACTTAATTATGGAAATGTCCCACACTTTCTAGCTTTGTAAAGCTTAGAATGTACTCCTAAGCCATTGTGTTTGATTGGTACGTTTTTCTTCAAATGTGAAACCTCGATTTTTGGTTTTTACTTGACAACCTGTATCACAAAACGTACGCAGAACTCCGGAGCAAAGCGCTGTCGATTTAAGAAGTAATAATTTCAACAACTACGCTAATATTATTTAAGGAGACTAATTAATTACAGTTGGATTTTAAAAACTTACCAAGAAAATTCACTTCCACCATATTGATCCCGGAGAGAAGACACATGACGTCATGGGATAAATTTATATTGTTTGTACCGGGTTAACGCGCTGACCGTACACGCCTTCTGCACCAGCCAATCAGAGACAAGAATAGGGTGGTAAAGTTCCAGGTAAATCGCATCACTACATGCCTCGTACGTGAGATAATGGCGCGAAACATTTCCCGCTCTTTTGCAAACGAAAAGTCAAAATTCGGGATGGGTGAGAAGATTGACTGCTTTTTAAGGGAGAAAGTAACGTGAAATTGCCAGAAGACGAGAAGAACTTCGTTTATCTAGCTAAATATTGTTCTCCGAAATCAGTTTCTGACGAGGTTTAGTTCGTTATAACAAACAAATAGATTGACAGATATGTTTAAGACCCGATTGAGGGGAACACCCAGACGAGCAAAAAAAACATCCTGCTTATCAACAACACGGTGCGTTTAGTTTGTTTGAAAATGCGAAGCAAGAACGAAGAGGATTCTTAAGGAAAGCATTTATAATTTTCCTGTTTATCACTGGTACCCGCGCTCTTCAAGTAACGAAACATCAATGAGGACGCGCGGCAGGTTGTGGACTGGATCCGATTTTAAAGACTGAAGCTTAATGGCGACAACGATTGTGAACAAAAAATGAAAAACGGCAAAACTGAATGAGAGGATAACAAAGTTTATCTTACATATAATCAGTTCTTCTAAATACTGCGCATTACTTGCGTTTCTCCTTAGTTTGTTATGACAACAAATTAATCATTTTGGATGGTATAAGGTAGCAACACAAAATAGCATGGAGAATGGTTGTTTTGTATCCAAATTGCATAACAAAATTGACGACTTGTCTTGCGATGTGAAATACTTCTCATTATAAAAAGCATTACGTCGTTTTTATTAAAGCGCCGTTTCCTGAAATCGAAATGTAAGTGGAGATATTATACGTTACAGCACTACTGTACTAACTGGGGAAACAATAAGTCTTGCCTAGTTACTAGGCCTCAATATTTCGCCGCGGTCAACTTCACCGAAATCAATTGACCGCGAGGGCCTAGGAGAAAGCCGTACAGGAACTAGGCAACAATGTCTAGAAACAAATAGAGTAAATAGAACTAAAGGATTGTTATTTTTTATCGCAGCTGAAGTGTATGATGTATTGAGCCAAACAGAATACGTAATATAACATTCAACCTATAACAAGTTGCTAATTATATTTAAACGAGATCATGGAACGGCCTGAGATACCACGACACTTTTAACACTATGTTCTGTTTTAGTAATTTTATCCCTAGCGGTGTTTTTCGCTTACAAGTGAAGAAATCCAAATAACGATCATTTTGGTTTAATCAAATCACTTCTGATTGGCCAAAAATAACAGCTACTTTGCGCTGATTGGTTAGAGCGCGGCAGAACGACTGACAATACGACCTACTTTGCAAGAAAAGGGAAGGAATAATACAGTGCAAAGGTTAACTTACTGATCCTTTCTCTGTCAAAGAAAAAACTTGCAGGATTTGTCTTCCACGTAAACATTTTTTCCCAGTATTCCCGACTCAGTGCAAAGTGCAGTTATCAAGAGCTGCGTGTTTCGGAAGAGATAAAAATCAACAGCTAAAACAATTACAATTTAGAGAGGAAATACACACAGGATTTAATGTTAGACCAAATCGTACTTACAGTTTGATATCTGATAGGCTATAGCGCAGCCCGGCTAACTAGAGATCTGAAAATCCCTATAGCGAAGAGTGACGTAGCCGTCGTTGCCAATGTGTTCAATATCGTGGCTGAAGATGAACTCATACGGCATGACACTCGACCCTTTTGTCCTAAACTGCGTGTTTTTTTTAACGTTAACAGCCATTGCTACCACCTCCAAATTTTTCTTACATTAAACAGTGCAATACGATAACAGGTTACATAGAGAAAATAGTGACTTTTTATAGTTTCTCCGGATGGTCATATAGGAACACCAAACTCATCAGACACTCTGTTGAGCTCATCTTGTGCCCAGTGTTTTCTCTCTGTGATCTCTTCTAATTCCTTTTCCAATGAGTTACGCTTGTAACTTAGCGCCGCAATCTTCCTTTGCGCCAGCTCTGCTTTAATCTCGGATTCTCTGTAGCAGTCTTTAAGATCTTTTATTTTCTCATTCAACGCCAGTTCTTCATGTTCGCTCATTCCTGTTCGTGGATTGGACTGCAACTCTTCTATGTTCTTGTTCACCTCTGACAATTTGGCGGCGAGCTGTCCTTCTAGTTGTCCTAGTCGCTCGCAGCGTTTCTCTGCGAGTTTTTTCTGCAGCTCAACTGATTTAATTCTTCTCCTGGCTTCATCCAACTTGGACTCGTTTAAGGCCACCGTTTCTTTAACAGTTTTCAGTTTCTCGTGTAATTTGTCCTGCTGAGAGCTGATTTGATCTTCCTCTGTAGACAGGCTAGTCATGACTTCTGCATTCTTTCTCAAAGTCTCGTGCGTTGACCACAACTGTCCTTGAACTTCCTGCAAACGAGAAGCGATTCTCTTCATCTCAACTTCAGTCGTCGTTGCATGACGACTCAATGAAGCAGCCGTAACTTCCGCGCTATCAATTCGACTATTAACTTCATTTAAGCTCTCCTTAAAAGACTCACTTCTAGCTTCGGCTAGATCCAAGCGAGCTTTCAGTTCCTCGAATTTTTGCTGTAATTTTTCAGCCATGGTTTTGGCCGTAATTTTGTTAAAACGGAGGTTCGTGACGAACCGCGCGAGATGATGACGTCACAGTCGCTGCTAGAATGTAACATATCAATTATGTCAGCTTCAGTTGGATAATTTCCAATTAGAGTTTGAAACACATTTCAGATAGATTTGTTGCTAGGGACTTCCTGAGTATATTTTTTTTAACTATGACTCATTATCAAATTATGATCGAATTAAAATATATTGAAATCGAGTACAAAGTATCGTCACATTTGACATCCGAAGAAAATGGAAGCTTGTGAGTGTATTGTAAAGTACTGCACTCTTTCTGACGATCTTGCCTTACTATTTCGAACGTAACGGCTTACCACATTCAACAAGACCCATAACTGCGTGTACTCGGGCTTCTCTTATGGAAATAAACTTGGTTTACATAAACAACTTGATATATATCTGGCGATAGTTCGCCAGTGCCTGAGACAAATACAAACTCCGTTTTTCTTGTGGCTGTTTATCGCTCTAGAAATACTTTGGGTGATGGGTTAATCATATACATCTGAACGTGATTCAATATTAAAATGAAAAACAACAGTAACTTTAAGTCACAACTGTTAACAATAGGGACTCTGATAGTCATAATGTTCAATATTACGTTCAGAGGAAAAGCTATGCAGGCTTCTTTCGTCTAATCAGTAGTAATGTCTTTAAGGGTTTAATATATGCTTTCGCTATAGACAGAGCTTTATAATGGAAGGATGGAGCTAAATCGAATCATTACGGTTTATAGCTAATCTGTGACACGTTAATGAATCAATTATATACCTTGCGCACGCGCGGTATATTCTCTCACTCCTTGTGCACGCGCAGAAGACATCAGAGGGCGATTTGCGTCAGGAAGAAAAAAAAATCCCGTTCCCATTTTTAATCCCGGGCTTTCCTATGGTAGCCCGAGTAATAAGACTAGATCTTTTGGATGAAACGGAGAATTCCATACTCATTCAGCCAATCAACGGCACGCATATGCATATGTTAGGTCTCCAATTAATGTTTCGCATATAACGACTCAACACGTGGTTAATCACAATCTTTTTGAATGCCTATAACGATCACTAAGTTAATAATCAATTTGAAGGTAATAGAGGTAAATTACCCGCCGTAGAGAATCAAGAAAGCCAAGAGAAAATGAAGATCATGGTCTCTTGGGGAAAGCTCAGACACGTTTTGAGGATTAGCCCTTCGTGGAAACTTTCTGCTGCAAGGAAGGCTAACACTCAAAACATCAGCTTGCCCAACCTCTGAATTGCTACCGACAAAACAAAACAAATTCTCCAGAGAGTAACAGCTTTGTTAGATACATACATGCACACTTTTTTCAAGACACAAACTTAAGAAAAGTTTACAAAAGTATATCTCGAGGTTAGTCCTACCACGATACAAAAAAAGACTCCCTTAATTTATACAAGAAAAGTGCCATAATAAACAATAAATAAATGAATTATGCAGTGAGAGATAAAACTTCGAATTTGAAGGTGGGATTTCAACTTGGATTTGCAAATGTTAAAAGCTTTAGCTTTCCATTTCATCCCTTTGTTCCATTAGATAACTACCCTAATGATTGAAAAAGGAACATTGATAACAAGTCGATCATTCTCGCAGGTTTAATGTTACGTGTTCAGGTTCGCACACAAAACGTTTCGAAACATCGACGATGTGAGATTCTCAGGGGGGGGGGTGGTGGTGGTACTCCCTTATATGGGCTATATAGGTATGTGCGGCCCAAAGGGTAGGGTTTTTCAGCCGTTTTGGTCATAAATAGGGTATCGATTTTGGCCGGCCATTTTGGTTATAAAGTGGGTATGGTTTTAGCACTCTAGGCTTGAATTGGGTATGTTTCTTAGAAGAAGCTAGCTACGTTTTCATCATTATCAATAAGACCGTCAACAAAAGCCCTTCATAACTTATGTTAAGGGTAACTGTGTCAGCCGCAACGGTTATAAATAGGCTATCGAATTTTTGGTCAGGTCATAAATAGGGTAACAAAAAACGCAGATTTTGACCATAAATAGGGTAGGGGTTTTGCGAAGTGGGCCGCACTCCCCCACCCAACTTTTCTAGAAGTACCCCCGGGGGTGAGATTACTTACTTATAGTTCAGTATACTTTTATTCTTCACTGGCCATGCCAGAAACAACTGGGAACTTAGCAACCGCTTTCTGCACTATGACCTCTGAGACGCGGCTAGGTAGCCACCCGGAGCTATATGATTAGTTGAAGGTTTCCAAGGGTGATCATTAGCCAATCATAGCCACTGTTGGCTAGCAAATCTTAGTGCTCGATTTCCCCAGAGTTTCTAGAATGAAGAATTATGTTCATAACCTTCTGCTTGTGACCCACGATATCATGTTTTAAACAGACTGTGTGGTTCTTGTACCGTGGTCATGACTCAGCGTTTTAGGAATGGCGGTTCATTCACATATTTAATACGCCTCTTAATTTGTGTTGTTTTCGTGAGACATTTGCGATAAAGTATGTCTGAGTTCACTGAGCCACTGGGGTGAACCAACCCAACCGCTATCTGGATTGGTCCTTGGCAGTCCCGAGGTCAAGGTTCAACTCCTCGACTGCGTTGTGTAAATAATTTGGCTCAAATAGCCAACTGGTCGGCCCGTTCCAGTTGTTCTTATTAGTTCTTAATAATGTTTTATTTGCATTATTTGTTTATTCATTTACGGTGTCCCCAAAGTACAACAGTGCTAAATACATTTCACTTAAAAAAGTAATTTTTAATTTTTTTTTATTTCAGATACACCTATTTAGCTATAACGTTTCCTCCAACATTGCTCTGGTCCCAAAGGCTTTCTTTCTTCTTTCTTTCAACCTAAGTGAAATTTAATCTACAAAGCTTTTGACGTTTCTTTGTTGCAGTTTTTCTGTCGCTCATTCCTTTGATTCAACATCTGTGGATCAAAGTAACCCTTTCCTAAGGGCACAATAATACTTCACTTGTGAAGCTGTAACGATTTGCAGTTATTGACTAGGTGGGAGGGCCGGATGAGGAAACATTTGGCTCGAGTCAAGCTATATGCCGACTCTTCCTGCCCAGTGGGACTTCCTTCCTAGAGAGCTACGTCAGCGCTCCTTATACGGTGGTATGATAAAAAGGAACAAGAAATAGGTTCCGACGGTGTTTCCTTATTCCTGCGAAAGACCGTTGATAAGAAAAAGTAAAATGCTGTTTCAGTAGATGTCAGGCTGTTAATTATTATATATGTGGATTGACAACTCCTCTCCGAAGTTTGGGACACCCCCAAAGAATTTCTCTTTGCCTTCTTCAAAACAATTACAAGCTGTAGTTCAGACGCGGCAACTTTATCTTGCATCACGTGGTAAGGTCGTCTATGCCACGTGATCGGCTTTTGTCACGCGCTACAGATTAACGTGCCACATAACGACCAGTCAAGCTCTTGAATGTGAGTTATTTCGTAGGACTGATGTCCGCCTAATCAATCAGTGGAACTGTTGTGTGCTCGGGTTAGGCCTTCCTTAAGAGGTTCCTGTTTAGCGTACAGTTGGTTCACCTCGGATATTGTTATTCTGGATTGTACGCTTGTCTGATAGTTTTCCTCTGTTCCAATCATTTACATCAGTACTAGTCTCTTCTTTGATCGTCTAGATCTTTCTTTTGTGCTATTTAAGCGCGTGTATTTTTGTTTAAGTTCTCTGCATTGCCGGAAAAGTCCATTTTATAGTCTTCCATCAACGTTAATCTTCTTTGTAGATATTAATCTGTAGGAAACAGCCCTAATTAGTAGATCGAAGGCGCGTTTTTTTTTTATCCGGAAGGAAACTGAATTTCGTAAAGAAGCATAAGTAATGTGAGTAATTTACGTCTCCTTGCATTAGTGGAAAGTTGCTTTCTAAGAACATTAATGTCACGTCTACTTATTTCAAAACTATCGAGCGAAGACTTTTTTTGCCGAAAATGTAATCTATCTATTTCTACTGAAAACACAAGTTGATTCATGAAATACGCGCGATACGCCAGTGGTCTGCATCCAGATACTCTATTTTACTTGCTGCGCTGGACAAGCAACTGAGGAATTGAAGAAAATAATGGACATCTTTGCGAAGACTAACTTGCCGCCAGTCAAGCCAGAAAATCGGCTTTGTTTAGATAATTAAAAAGTGCCTATTACGGTGCTAAAGAGTAATTTGCCAAAACGGAAAAAAACATTACACTAAGAGGCAGCTTGATCTTTTAGCTTCCAGTTTCATGCCTGCATTAGCAAACAAGTCAAAAAACTTTGAATTTGAATTATTTTCGGAGCTTCTTTTTTAGCTACTCTAACGGCGTTTCGGTAATACATACTCTCCTGAAAAAATCGATTTTCTTTATATAAAACGATGAGAAGTCAAAGACTACTGCAAGGCTGTCACAGTCGTATATTTATACAATATTGGCTGGCCAGACCAGCCTCGGCTTCAGGTTTAGATGTTACTTATTTATACGTTACTCGTTTCTAAGTTCCTTACTCAAAAAATCGCTCAGTTGTTAAAATTGCAGGTGCTATAAGAGGTGAAAAAACTGTACTCGATAAAGAACGCCAGTTTAATGTAAGCGGGGTTGGTAATTATGATAATTATCATAATTATGACAGCGTTTACTAATTATGACAGCTGAAAAAGGTTTATCATCTAAAGCAGCGTATAGAACGCTCGAGGGACTAAGCAATGTGTGAATATGTTTTAGATGGCCTTGAATTCAGGCCATGTCTGAAAACAGAATATTTTTCTAAGTCTTACTAAGTCAGTTGAAGTTAGGAAAAAAATTAATGCTTCTTTCGTATTTATTTGCTAGATATATCGCCAACATGTTATTCTGAAACTAATTAAGTTAAATGTGACCAAGTTATTGAATGCACTTTTGGTAAATTAAAGTTATGACGCTTAACTAATTAAAAAAACATCTAATATTTACACCTTGCAGTGATGGGCTGATATTTTTAGCCCAATGTTTTTTAAAATATTTCCGTTGATTTATGTCCATCACGAAAACAATTAAAAATAGATTTATTTGTCAGTGCATGATATTACAATACCACTACAAACTTAGGGAGGGTATGATTGCCTTTTTTCATCTAAACGAGTCGCTTTTAAAGGATTTTATAACACAGCGTGCACGCAGAGGGTAAAATAAAACAACGCTGAAAGCCTTTTTAAGTTATTAATAGCGGATAATACGAGGCAGCATTGCAAATGTAAATGCCCGATTTGTAGAGATAGGACAATTTTAGTATAGCCAAACACCAGAGGTAAGCATTATTAATTTTTTTTTCAAGTTTGTTTTTGGCAAGTGAACTTGTCATGATCACATAGAAAGTCACTTACAATATGTTAGCGGTTTAAAAGACCACATCTCTTTAGCTGCCTTATGGCGGAGCCACTGATAAAATTAACCTTCGCGTGCACTAACAAATTGCAATTGTTAAACTGACTATTAAAATAAAGCATTTTAGAAACACATTTGGTGACAATGATTTATGTATTTGACGAAGTGAAAAATATCGTTAAGAACTAAACGCGCCAAAAGTAATGGCCTTACTTTACAAGCCTCTGACGCCATTCAATAAAAAAAATATATCGATAGGAAAACCCACGCAAACTTCAACAGATAGATCGCTTTATGTGTATTCAGCTTTTTGTCTTTGAATTGATGTGAACAAAACTGTAAAAGCCTATCTCTATAACAGTTTCTCGGACGTACTTTGGGGTAAACCATGATTTGAATTACTCTTTTTTATCTTTTCCTTATCCAAAATATATGGGCTTCGCTTTGTTTTGAATCAAAGACTTTTTTGTTGCGGCGACTTAATTTCTCCCACGTGCTAAAAACAGGTGTATACACGCGATTACGATACGTTATCATGCCCATGTGGACAATACGTTCTGTTATCAGACACAGCTGAACAATAAAGGTTGTCACTTCTTGTGTTATATGGTGATCATTAATATCACTCATCGTAGAACGGTAAAGTCAGTTTTATTTCTCTCCTGTTCACCAAAGCCGTGACTGTAGCGACATTTTTCCGAAGAAGCGACGATGTAAGTGGTTCAATTTTTTTTTCTGCTTTTACAAAGTGTATATCGTAGCTTAGGAATATATTTCTGGCGATTCAGTGTTAGAGGTAAACCAGTAGAGAATTGTTTTCTCAGCATGAATATTCGCACTTTTGCAATTTTTTTTTCTGGGCATTTAAGAAACACGCTACTCACAGTAAGTTCAGCATGAAGGGAACTGCCTCCGAGTAATCTTTCTCTGTGTTTACGTGATAAGTAAAGGTTTACATTTAATTATTGTAGTTTCCGTAGCATTTTGTCTTAGCTTCGGAAATTAGTGTTTCCATTTATCATATGGTTGTTTTACCGACTCTAATTCTGCAGCTCGTGCGAAATTAGTCATAGCTTATCAGAGTACAATGCATCTCCAAGGAGGTTCGGTTTGTACAAAATTTCAAAAATAGCTTCCTTAACAAAAAAACACTATAGGACAATTCAAAAGAACGAAACCAATTAACTTCGTCCAATCAAATAATAGCACGAGTACACGAGCGCATGCGAGCACGTCATCACGACAAGTCATATTGCTTAGCAACTACTCTTTGAAAACTGCGGTTTACATAGTCTTGGTCCCAGGCGTCCTCAGCGATTTGATTCACTGATCACAAACTGTGCAGTAGCCCCAGGCAACCATTTTTATTTTTTAATTTTTCCCTGATAGGCTACGTTCGATGTATCAATATTCTAACATGGCTCCGAGGCTTTCAGGACAAACTTCTATTTTTGGTGGTGTTTCTTTGTATACAAGTCTTTTTTGGGAATTGAAAGACAAAAGAAACTTTAAAAATTTACAATTTTGACCGAAAGCCTCGGAGCCATGTTAGAATATTGATATATCGAAAGTGGCCTATTCTGCATTTAGAAATTGAATTGAACGCTTTATAAAAACAGTTTATCCCTTCCTTTGACGTTTTTTTAGGAGGTTCGTCTGCCTTACACCAGCATTGTTATCTCTAGTAGTTCTGTTTTGTGATGAAACATCATTTGTAGCCGGTTCTTATGCCAAGCAGTGCGGGAGAAATAATCACCATTTCAACATGTGTTACATGACTCGATCACATATCGACTCACTACTGAATCGAAACTGCGTGAAGAGAAGGAAACGAGCCCAAGCACAATCAGGTAGGTTCATTACTCGATTCACGTTAGTCCCGAAAAATAATTGGTTTTGTATTACTAATTAAAAAACCAAAACTCCCGGTATTCTTTCATCCAATCAGAAGTAAAAGCAAAACCAATCGTGGTTCAGCACCACGCGTTTTCCCGCGCTTTGTCAGCTACACTTATTTACTTTGAGCTTTGATTGGTTCACTGGATTGTCTGTGTACTTTATGATTGGCCAGAGTGAAAACTTTGACGATACTGAATTGAAAACTGCACTGAAATTAACGTAAAAGCGTTTATGATATCCTTGACACTTAGTCGTCCGAAATAATAAGCCCCTTCTTAGAACCGACTTTAATGGATTGTTGAGCTTTATTAGGTCCTGCACTCTTCCTCAGATGGCAAGCCACAGTTTGGTCTTGATCGTATTTTTTGTGTGTGTGTTATTAAACAAAAGTTAGCAACATTTTTCTTATTCGTTATTGTGTTTAAACTAATTTAATAGGGAGTTTACGAAACCACGACGGGGACGCCGAGGACAACGTCGATTAAAAAATGGATTTATATTTTACCTACAAATCTCGCGATGCTCTTAAGTCATTTAGTTTGCTCATCACTGTCAAAACTATTGCAAATCTAAATCCGGAACNGGCAAAGAAATGTACCAAGAATTATAACGCATGTGTACAGCCATTGTTCTGCTCATTAATTCTTTTGTTCAGTGACGTTCCCGTTGCCGTTGCCGTCGTGGTTTCGTAAACTCCCTACTATCTGAAACGGGCACCAATCTCTAAAATTGTTCATTCTTTTTTTCTTCCATTATTTTCGCAGATGAAAATTTCTTACAATCACCTGAAGAAGCCCGAAGTTTTTTACGGAGATCTGCTGAAAAATATGTTATAAATTACGTATTATTTATGGAAGAATGTTGTTTAGAAGGCTGTTGCAGACGAGAAGAAATTATGGAACACTGCTTACCATCATTTAAGAATTAAAGGACAATTTTAAAAGGTTTATATTAGGATTTTGTAAAATTTATTTCAATGGGAGAGAACATTGTCTAAGAATAACGTCTGACAAGAGTAGAAATATATGTTCATCCCAAACTTGTGATTATTAAAGTGTGTGATTCACGATTGCGTCTGTTATGTATTCGTAGAAATCAATGCCATTCTGCTACCCAGGTAATGAAGCTGTTCCGTCAAGCCTACCATAGGTTCAAGTTAAAATTTTGCCCCCTCCCCCACTACCACCGGAGTCGCTCATGCATAATAACTAGAATGGAATAAACACTGCATTTGAGGAAACAAAATGCCGGAGTTTATTCCAGTTTTGTCTCATTCCATCATTCTGTCACTCTTGACGAACACGCGCTCTTTCCAAAGCAGCAACTTTTATTTATCTTATTAGATAGGAAATTAGTGCTTATATATGTTTATTGTCATATCTCTTCTTTATCTCCATATCAGAAGGAAAAAGTAAAAATTGAAATTAGTGTTAAAAACTATAAATGATCAGATTCCGGAGTACCTGAAAGGCCTTTTTGAACCCTCCAGCACGGACTATGGACTCGGAAATATTGAAGACAGATTAGCTCTGCCCAAGCCCCGTACCGAGTTTTTGAAACATAGTTTCTGCTACCGTGGGGCACATTTGTGGAATAGCTTTCCGTCTAACCTCAGAGCCATTAGATCTTTTATTAACTTTAAAAACGAGATCAATCGCTTAATGTCCTCCTCGTACTCCAACAGCAAACATACAAATCAGTTTTTTTTAAAATCTCATTCTTGTAGCTGATGTTTCTACCGTGTTTTAAATCAAGTGTATGTTGTACTGACACGATCATGCCTGTTGGAAAGTGAAAATTGTTCCTGGTCGAAGGTTCGCCATCCCGCGCCAGGCAAAAGAACTTTTCATACATTTCTTTATAAATAAAAGCGAACGGTTTACACATGAGAAATCACAATGTTAACTCTGATGTCTGTGTGATTCTAGGTGGAGGGTAACTGTTTAAAGGTTGGGGGACCCTGAGGGGTGTTTGCACCTGTTTCCATGTCAACACTTTGGATCAGTGTTTGACTCGCCCACCAGGGCTTGGTCGGGACATACAGGACCATACAGCGTACACAGACCTACACACCGGGAAGGTTCATTTTTGGCATGGTCAACGGGGACAACCTTTTTTCATATAAAAACTCGGTAAACGTCAGATTCCTCGAAGATAACTCTACTAACGGGGACGACGTTTCACCCGATATCTCGGACCATGTAAACTGACCCTTATAATTATAATAAATGGTAATATTTCCTGATAAATACAATTTTCGCGAATGGCGCAAAGAAAACAACCTTCCGTATTCACAACAGAAACCGAATGCAGAACAAACCAGTACAGAGTCAGATCTTTCGATTTGTGGAATACAAAAATGATACTTCGGGGAAAGAATGGAATCTTTACATGCCTGATAGCCGGTGTACCTGGCATGATTTCGCGAGAAAGTATTCTTTTTCGGCTGCGGGATTTGCGAGCTGTTCTAGGCCACGAGGAAATTTTCGCGAGCGACGATGCTACGAGGGGAAAAACTTGACCACTCACCATTCTCCTCTCGATTTCGCTGTTTTCGTTAGAGACTTCGTTGCTGAAAACAGGCTCTAAATGTTAAGTTTGTCAGACAAAGAAAACTCATTTTAGGAAGGGATTCAGAATTTTGAGTCAAAATTATCGACGCAAGAGCAAAACTCTTTATTTAGCCAGGGGCGGTGGTCCATTCAACAATCTGGCTGATATCCAGAAGGGCCCATGCCGGAAATCTAAAACTGCAAGCAACATTCGCCTATTTAGAACTGAGATAAAATCTGGGGTGAGTCTCATAGTCGCCTGGGGGTTGTTCCTGGGGACACAACAAGAAATAAGAGCCATATTGTCTCCACTAAGGGCACCACAAGCGACCGCGAGATAAGACTTACGCCAGATTTCGTTTCGTTTCCCTCCTAATTGCAATACATAAGTTATGGAGCGTAATTTTCCTGTAATAAAGGAAGTGATTTCTTCCGTGAAGTACAGGGCTCGCGTTCCGGGTTTTGAGCGGCATGGGGCGACGGCGAACGTGCATGTTTGATCTATATGTTAATATACAGGGAGAGGCTGGAAATGGTTCTGAAACGGCCAAGAAAGATATGAGAACTATAGTATTTATATCGTCTAAAAACAGCAGTCCCACTCTGATCGTCACATTTGATCACGCCTTGTAATCGGAAATAAAATATAGGAATTAAGCTTCATACTTTTTTTGAGAAACATATTTCTAAGTAGAACCTTTTCAAAATAAGTGGGTCAGGTAAAACGATCAGTAATAGACTAAATGATTACTGAAAATCGCGCTATCCCCATCCTTACATACACATTGCAACTTGCTCTTTTCGCCGTCCAACTATCTTGTTCATGTTCCCTAAAGTCATAACCGACTCGCAAGTCGTTGCAGAGGAAATGTAACATTTACCATTCTGGGCATGATAGGCCGGGCCAGAGGTAAAGCCCTCGGCAGATATCCTTGCTGAATCTGTAAGACATGGTTTTATTCGATTTATTTAGGACTGACCCATATGTTCCCTCCAGAAATCAATGTGGAAATGTAACCAACCAAAATTGAATTTTTTGATCAAAGCTTCCACTGGCGACCAAATACTGAGACCAGGCAGAAATGTGTTTTAAAAACATGGACTATTTTAATGTTTAGAGTTTTTGTGGGCAACAATAAATATCTTAATGATCAGGTCTTTAAAAAAATGATGATTAGTAAAACGTTTTTTTTTTTTTTTTAGAAATAATGACAACTCTTGTTTCGATCACAAAAATGTCTATGTTCTGGTTCTAGAATGAGACTACGCCTATCTGCGCCCATCATTACCGTTCTATAACATTTAATATGTGAAGAAGGGAAAAAGACGAAAACAAGAATTGTTAAAAAGTTTTTAGACTTTGTCTTGTTTTATTTTTACCTGAACATTTTATAATCCCTTTAGCTCTAAATTAATCCAATTCTTGATGTCGGTTTACAAACAAATCCTTTTTAATAAATGAACAAAAATTGTCTTCATCTATTACACGAGCGACATCTCACAGCGATAAGAGTTCATCCAATAATGCGGAGCTCAGTCATTTTCCAAAAACAGCTTGTTGTTAAAAAGAGAGGAGTTTCACTTTGATTTTTTTATTTTGACTCAAAATTTTCATTAAGTATTGTCATCGTTTTCTCTTAGACGTAAACCTTTTCACACTCAAATTCTAAACAAAGAAATTTAATTGTAAGAAACGGAAAGTCGCTAGCTTTGAGGGCAGATGCCAAGGGTTTGCGTCTTATAACAAAGAAGTCGTTAAGAATCTCATAACAACTATTTCCATAATCTAATGAAATACATCAGTTATGAAATTTAATATCACGCTTAGTCATTAGCAATGCTGTTTTATTAACGATTTCGTTACTAATTAATCTAATGATCCGTGTCTAGCTTGGTGACCACAAAATCTTTGCTTGCAACCTGTCCAGCCCTAGCTTCCTGAACGGAAAAAATAAATGCCAGCCGACGCTTTTCTAACGTAGAGGTAACAACGGAACCACGCGACGTAAACGTAAATTAATATTTGTTTCATAAAAATACACAATGCGTCTGTTGACAGAAGACTGCCCGGAGTCGTCTAAAAAGGATCGTTAGATATTTAATTTAATCCCTTTCCAAATTTTGGACTTGTACGTACAAAGCCCGCCCTTTGTCTCCATGACAACGCAACGTAACTGGCATTGTTCGAACAGAATTAAGACACTTATGAACCTTCGGGTCAAAAAAATATATTCACCCTTCGGAACGGATTTTCAGTTGCACTGTAATCACCCTTCAAACGAGGAGACGTACTTACGAGGAGAGCAAAGCTCATTTTCTCAAAAGCCATATTTGCACTGAGATTTGAAACGGTAAGATTATTGACTGCTAGGTTACTGCTATAAAGTTAGAGGTGAAATTTACATTTTTTTAGTGGAAGTCTTGTGTATATCGGTTACATACATGGGCTGTGCAGTATGCAGGCTGTATTGCAAATTCGTTTTAGGATTTTTGACAGGTATAATTCACTCAGTAATTTATGTCTTGTTGAATTGTTCGTCGTTAAATCTTGGCTACTGTTGAAGAGTTCTTTCAGGAGCAAAGCACAGTTCTACTAAATTTTTCACGTGCGACTAGTTAATTTGAATGTTTCTCATTTGTTTGAATTCAGTTGACTATTGTGCTTCTTCATTTTACTAACACTCGTTTTCTTTTGTTTTACACTTCCCAAATTAAGTGAAGTTGGCGCCTCGCTTCAAAAGAGACAAGCTTTTACAGAAAGCCGGCATGATGTAGTTGTCTTAAGAAGCAAATACTGGTCATTTTATTATCGGAAAGGGGTTGAAACAAGCTTCGAGGCAAAATTCGAGAAACGGAGAAACTAAAAACTTGTTGATTGTTCGAAGACAAAAGATATCTTTTCTTTTTCAATGTGGCACTTAAATCGGTTCCTCTACATCGCGTTTGGCATTGTTTTGTAAGGCAGAACGATATATTGTTTACAGCGCACGGTTGAATTCCGTTCATCTGTTTTCTTGTTTATTCATGTCAGTTTAATCGAATAGCGGACTGTTTTTATAACCGAGAGCGACTTTACTGGAATATTGTTATGCGAGACCCATGAATATGGGAGTTATGTAGAAAATGTCCTTTGTGGCATCTTTTAGTTGGATCAGTCTCCTTGTTCGTTTACCTAATAAATTAGTCTCTGATGGGAGAACGTTTTGACGCCAGAACTGTTAGTGCTCATTAAGTAAAGACAACCTAAACGGTTTGGAATCTTTTGTTTAAAATTGGCCAACATATATTCAATGGCCAAGTAACTGTATGGCCCGGTAAAACTTTTCAGAAAATTCAAAAGGCGACGACATAAATTTTTTTTTGTAACATGCTGAGTATTGTGTTGGCAGCTAGCAAGCTGCTTTCCGCTTCGCTTCGTAAAACACTCTCTGTTGGGAGTCGAGAAAAAGCACTGAATACTTGATCGCGTTAAGCAGTCAAGAATGGAAAAAAAAAAAGAAAAAAAAAAATCTGGCAAAACATGCTAAAATATGGGCCACGACAAAACTAAGGCGTTTTCTAAGTTTCTTTAAAAGAGCTGGGATTGTCAGCAAATCCTGTTTTCGAAAGTTAAAAAAATAAATATTAAAGTTAGATTAACATGCGTGACTTATCCTGGTTTTAGCCAACAAATTTCGTTCTGCATTTTGATGAACTTTTGGATCATGGGATACGATCTCTCCTCGAGCTTATGGCTTCTGTAGAAGTCGCGGATAATATCGATTTAGTCGTAGATAATCCACTCTGACAGCATTTGTAAGTCTTATGAATTCTCAGTCATTTTAGGAATCAAGGTGTCAAATGGTTAAACATCTGTTTCGACATCCGTCCCATGTGATTATTGAAAGATGTTGAAAGGAAGGCGTGCCGAATAGCATTTGAATTAGTTCGAAATTAAATCTGATTTAGCATACCGTGGGCATTTTTATTGATTCCTCTGAACTTCTGTCGGGGTTGAAATTGTCCTTGTATTTGCGCGCTTTTGTTAGTTCTATATATTAACACGAAGAATCGTGTTGGACCGATTGACTAACTCATAAAACATATATATAACAATGACACCCCATTTCAATCATGGCCGCTTTCATTCCCAGATCGTTCGCGGTCAAAAGGTTCTTCAATCAATAGAAACACTTATTTATTCTGGCTGCTCTTCAGTTTCTGCCTGTATTCTGCCGACGACATTTTGTCGACGACTTTGTGATCGCGAAACAGCGTGTGTACCTTTAGTAATATGCGTCGTTCTGTCGGCGGTCTAGTCCCCGTCTCGAAGAGAGAATCTTCCAATTTGAAAGGGAAGGGGCTGGTCGTCATCTGTAGGGGGAAAGTAAATTGAAGATTTCCTCTTATTTCGAGTGTGATTTCATATGTATTTATCCACTATGGTATATTTTATGGTTTCACGAGCCTTTGTACTTTGTTGATGGTTTACTTTCAACTATAAAATTTTCTTCATAGATGAAACATTCGATGACAATGTTTTGACGCAAGAGATGACGATCATCGTTTCTTTTTTTACGTCATAGTATCTATAATTCTTATTTTAGAATAATACCTTTTTTGTGTCACATAAATCTTTCGCCACACTTAGACTGGTCTTGTTTAACGCTTTAATTTAAATTTTCTTAAAACCTTCTTTCCTTCCTTTTTCTTTAAACCTTCCTCCGTTTCCGCTTGAACATGGGAGTCTGCCGAAGCTGTCAGGTCGAAGAACTAAAAAGGAAAAAAAAAACAAAAAACAATCATACGCTCGAACTTCGGTCTTGCTTCGTGAAGAATCAGGGTTTGGCCCTTTTACTAGTATACCTTATTCCCGCTTGGTTACTTCAGTTCCGAAAATGCTAGCAGCCGTATTTCTCCTCTGTGACAAAAAACCCAGTTAGCTTCAGTTAATTTCGAGGAAAGGTAAACGGATTCTGTTTTGGCCATAATCGTCAATTTCGTGTGCATTCGAGGTATGAGATTTAAATTGGTATCCGGCCTAACCCTTGGCTAACTTTGAGCTGTTGCGGTAATAACTGCCGACATCTAGACTGTAAACTTTTATCATATCTCAACCAAACTTTGAAAGTGACAGATATGAAACAATCAATTGAATTCGTGGATTTAATTTGATAAGATAAATCTGCCAGCGAAAAAGTTGATAAGACCTTGCATAGAAATAATGACGGGACAGGTCAGCTAGGGAAACTGAAAAAAACAGTCGTCAATTTTGATTTGAATTCTGCATCAAGTTAAGAAAGGTAACTGCGTTCGAACTTAGACCCAGGCCACACTACGCCGAAGGAATTTGAAAACGTTCATTTCTAAGCGGGTTTGGCCTACAGTCCACAATAATCCGTCAAGAAAACAAAGCTTTTCGAAACCGGAAGAATTTGAAACGCCAGCTTTGCGTTTTAGTGCGGACGAAAACATTTTAAAAACGGAGGTATTTGAAAACGATGAGACCATGAAAATCATGTGATTTCCCTGCCCCCGAGTTTTCCTCAAACACAAATCCAAAATGGCCGGTTATTGCTGCGTTTGTGACGTAGTGTGTGGACGGAAAGCATTTGATGCGTTTCCAGAGTGAAAGCGCCTTTTTCAAATTTCTCCGGCGTAGATGTGGACGGGGCTATAAGCAATTCAAACTGGGTCGTTTACGTTTTCAGCTTAACACGGTTAAATTTAATTAAATTATTTTCCTGGTCTCTTCAAATAATGTACAATAAAATGGGAAACACTTCTCATTCTGTTTTTCTCTTTTACACCACATAATCTTGACTCTGGTCTAGTAGAGCTATATCTAGGTAAGTTTTCTTAAATTAATAAGAAAAAAGCTTTTAGCTTTATTCTTATAAAAAGAAAGGTTCACCAAGATTAATTTCCATTGTCAACACCGTGGTCAAGTGGATGGTGCCACCTGCTCATATCACATTTTCTCTTTGCTCTTTTTTGTGACTTGTTTGCATTGAGCGGAATTCTAACACTATTAGTAATTGTAAGAAAACCATTTTTGAAAATCGTTATATTGTTTCAATTCTCAATATTGAGGCTTTCATTTTGTGCCACTCATTTTGCTCTAACGTTTTATTTTCTGTTTTCAGAATTATGTCGCGCTGTCTCAAATTTCTTCTATTTGTGTCCATCGCTGTTCTTTCTATGCAAACGCTTTCAGCCAAGGACTATGACCTCAAACTGTGCGTGACACCATCTACGTTTCGGAGGATTCTGAACTTTTATTGTGCAAACTTAGCACGCAAGCGAGGTATAAGAAGAGAAGGTGAGAAATAAGCCAAATGAGGAGATCCGGGAAGTCTCTATTTAGTTCTCATAACACTTTGAGAATCCATGAAATCTTTAAGGCTGAAATCTAAGACCTGTTTTTAGGTGTACATTTTCTTTTGAGCGCAAGCCCCCTCCCCTCCCTCCCCTTTAAAAAACTCTCCGTTCAAGCTCAATCTTTTTAGGTCAGAACATTAGTTTTGTCACGATACAAGAGAAAGGCTGGTATAGCCATAGGTTCGGCCTTTGGTGTTCAGTGCCTCCAGTTCACGCAGTTTTCGATCAAAATGTTGGGGAATTAAAGAATGGTAGTCATGTGAGGTGATTGAACAGTAATAAAATGGCTGAAACCAACTTTATGATAAAAAGATGCTGTTTGCACCAAGTGAACAACCAGATATAAACTAAAGGCTAACATTATTATAACATTCATTCCTCACCCTCTCCCCATCCAGACTTTAGAATTATCCATTTGCAGCACAGTCAGTGGAAGGGTCAACGCTGCAAGTCTTTTCACTGTCTATTCTTGCTATGATAATAGTCAGTCGACACCAGCAAGCACACTGTGATGAACCTTCTTCCAACCTGCAGAAAGTCTTGCTAAGATCAGAGACCATCCTCTCTTACATGGTTTTGCTCAACTTCGCCGTGTCAATCTTGACCGAACTGGATTAAAGTCGGCGAGCACAAGCTTTTGAAGAATTAAGTTCCAATCTGAAATCAGACCAGCTGGCTGGGTTTTTTTCATCATCTTCACTAGCTGCAATCATTGCTTGCGCTCCAGGTCAAGGTTTTTTTTCAGTCGATTAATGACTCTGCCTGACTGGACACTGTGATTATAGCTTATTCAATAATTATTGATTGATTGACTGATTGACAAAATGCCTGTCTGACTGTCTGACTAGTTTAATTGACTAGCTGATTTGGTGGATTAATTAATTGATTGATTACAAGGCATTACGTTTTTATATTGTTTCTTTTTTTCAGCCTTGGTGAAATCGGAGACAGAAGCCAAGAGTTTTCTGACGAAATTATCAAAAAGAGACCCAACCGATGTTGATGAAAGGAGGCAAAGTACAGACTATCGTGAAGAATGTTGCAATGAGGGATGTAAAGTGAAGGAAATATATGAATATTGCTGGCTGTAAAGTCGATATTAAATCGCTATATTCGGTTTTAATTACTCTTTGCATTCTCGGTAATTTTAAAGGTGCTCTTTAATTGACAGCTCTCACTTACGTTGTTAAGTATACGATCCATGCTAAATATCTTATACAGACTTGTCAGGTTGCAATATTTTTAAGTGGCTTTTCAACCCAGCATAGCTGGAATAAACGCTTATTCTTTGAAATTACACTTGGCTCTTGAAGTTCTTTCTTAAAATTTCTTTTCAATACCTCTTTACGATTATGCTGTTGCTAGTGGTCCACGCACAGTGTGGAGGCACAGTGGCCTCATGGTTAGTGCGCTCGACTCCGGATCGAACGGTCCGGTTTCCAGCTCTGGCCAGGGACACTGTGTTGTGTTCCTTGGCAAGACACTTAACTCTCACAGTACCTCTCCACCCTGGTGTATAAATGCATGGGCACCGACGAATTTAATGCTGGGGTAACCCTGCAATGGACTAGTATTCCATCCAGGGGGGATTTGAAATATTCAGAGTCGCTTCATGCTACAGAAACCGGGATAAGCTCCGGTCTGATAAGCCACTTGGTTTGTATGCAGACTTTACCTTTACCAGTGGTCCGCAGTGGTCTCAAACCATTTCTTATAGTATTAATTAATGTTGGAATCATTTGTTCCAGCTCTTATCATAAGATAATCGGCTCTTTTATTCTCATTAAGACATCCTAAGCTCGATTATCAGCCGCTGTGCGGGAGAGGAGTCCGCTCTCCTGTCCCGAACTGACTCGAGAAAGCGGTGGAAATCAAGCCTAGAACAGTCCTGACTGCGTTAGTCTCTTGAGGAGAAATTATATCTTGATCAAAAACAAGGCTGAAACGTTCTTTTCGCCATTAGGAGTCTCCCGACACGTTTTGGGGAGTCTGGATGCAGTTAAACCTGACTAGCTGAGAGTTTATCAAAAGTTTTACTGTCAGCTGAGAAAAAAATGACGCCGCATATTCGAGACGACTGTTTTGCGGTCTACGTTGGCTCCGTCGCGTCGGCTAACAGTCAACCCTCACCTCGCTTCCACGAAGAGGCTTAGTTTCGGCTTATTTTCTAAACTCTACTGCTCGGTCAGCCGCTGACCGCTTGAGATTGCTGCTTGGCCGGAAACATTGGCCGCTCGAGGCCTGTGGGGTAGAGGTGGGGTAGCGTTAGCTTCTCATGAGAGACCCTCTAATTTGTTCGGCCATGACACTATCCGATTTATCATGAATGAGAGAAGCGCTTCATAAAGATAACTGAAAAAAATTTAACGATAGGCCACTGAGGTACTTTTCACCCAGCCCTCCCCTCCCGTGCGGATTTGATAAAATTCATTCGCGACGGGAGACTGGGTACCACTAATTGGAGTCCCGTCGTTTCTTGTCCCAAACAAGTATCAAGAAGATTTGTGTTTAGAGTTTTTAAAAAGCAAATGGTGTTACATCAAGATAGCAGGGATTTCACGAACCAGCTGGACTTCCCATTTGCATAACAGCACTTGAAGATTAATACTTCGCTTAACACAACGGGATCTAAACATTGTTTTCCACGTCCGCCAGCTTCCTCTTCGAATATCAAATGTCACGAATCGTGAGGTCACAGACTGGCACCTTGTGAATTCACCTGATTTTGTTGTCTTAGAAGTGCCATATAAGCAACACTTGGTGTTTCACTTTTCGGATGCAAATCGAGTCCGTGGTAAGCATTTTTGGTCGCTGAATACGTTGAATGGACAACTTAAGCAACGACTATAGAAGCAACGAGAACAGCGCTTAATTCAGCTCATGAATTATTTTTGAACTTGATTAAGTTATCTGTGGGTTGTTGCGGTTCTATGCAAAATATTGGCCTCTATTAATATACCATGAGCAGAATTTAGAAGTACTTCACGCCGCAGTGTTGTTTATAAAAGCAAAACGACTTTGCTGTTTTAATATTACTTCATTTTTTGCAGCGTTCTTGTGCCTCTTCTAGCTAGATGACTGAGATCCTGTCCGATTCGAAAAAAATTTTGTCACCAGAAGGGATTTTCAAACGAACATCGAGCGAGCCTGATATCTCTACGGCGGGCTTAAGGCAAAGGACGTGTAGCAATGCTTCTCAGCTACAATACAACCGAACACGAGAAAGATCGAGGACTTCGTTTGTACAACAAGTAAGTAAAGAAAGATCTCGCTCGCCATCACCGACTGGTGTTTCAAACTGCAGTGATTCTGAGGGACAAATGGTTGTAGACGGAAGGTAAGGGAAAAGAAGTTTGCATGTCATCAAGTTGTAATAATTTAGACTGATTTGAACGGCAATATTTCTATGAAAACAGATCAACTGAAGATATATGAAGAACGTGTTGGAGCCTTAATATATTTTAGACAATGGAAAGCTAACCTTAAGAGTGAATTAAGGGGCTATAAACTTATTTTCGAGTAAGTTTAAGTTGCTGTGATCGATACAAGGAAGTTAAGCCACACATTCTGGTCATTTTTAGATGTAAGTGATCCTACCAGATGTTTCTAGAGTAAACCAGCTTAATTCCTTTATTGTACATGATCTGTTTACAATAATTATTCATAACTTCGAAAGGAAAAAAAATCCTATTCACAGCTGTTTTGTTTTCGTTTTGCTTGCCCCAGGCCTTTATGAACATTTGAATAGTTTTTGAGGAAGTCTGTCCTGCAAGCCTCAGAGCATTGCATTGGAAGAGGTCCATGGTTTTGAACCCTGACCACTGTACACGTAACGCACATGTAACATTCCAAATTAAGAAACAGTCTACCACAAGTACTGGCCTTTTGAATGCAGCGATAATACTTCATTGTTGTTAAGAAAACCCTCCAAAAGTTGCAACCTCAAACATATTCTGGGAGGAGCTGGTTTCTCCTACACCCAACACTCTGTGTACTAGTTGTAAAACAACTGCTTGAAGGGTACCTTAAACATTATTCATTATACTGGATTGGCTGAAACATGGTACACATTTAACCAAGACTAAAGAACCCACCCCTCAAAATTTTGTAACCTTTTTGAAAGTACATGAAGAAGCCAATTTTTTGACCCAAATTTCTTACTAGCCTGATTAGTTAATGAAAAGTAATAATTGTTTGATCCCATTTTAAGTACTTCTGTAATTTGAACTTCCTCAAAACATTTTCCCCATAAAACTTCACTTCCTTGCTGGGAAAGCTGAGGGTAGATTCCATTAGCCCTACTGCCAAATCTACAATGTATAAGCCCCAGCCGGGTTATTGAACACTACTTCTTATGGATGCTGTTTACAACTGAGATAACCTGATGAATTCGATCTCTTATGATGCATCTCAAACCTTCACAACACTCATGTAACTTTATATTTTATTTTTGAAACATCAAGTCACCCATGGTTCCTGTCAGTAATAAGTGCATTTAACCCTGAATAATGGAAAGCTCCTGAAATGCACTATGCAGTCGAGTGTGACTCCAATACATGTACGTGACTGTATCTTTTATTTTTTACTTTTAGCTTATTAAATGATAGTTGCAACAGTGAAGAATTCACCTTCAGAGATCGTGCACCAACATCTCCAAGTCGAGAGGAAGTAAAGGCACAGGCTTTTGAAAGGCTTCAAGAAGAACTAAAGAAAGCTCAGGAGGTGAGAAATAACCTTGTACAAATCACATCACCCAGAAGCTAGTTAAAAAAGAATGAACGCATGCTTGGGGCCATTCTCAGTTAGCACCCCCCAAAACATTCTTACAAGCAGGAACTGATAATTTTTTTTTAATAATTTCACCTCTGTGATGCCACTGAGTACAACATGCATGCACCTTGTGTTTTTTTTATTACCTTCTCTATTCTCTTTTGAATGCTTTTTAATATTCTTTTACTTACAAGTGTCCAAATCAAGTGTGAAATTTTGACACAAAAATTTCCTGTTACCGATCTTTTTCCATGATCACTGGTCAGACTGGACATGGAATGGAAAAAATACTTACCAATAAAATAGTTTGTGATTTGAAAAACAATACCAAAAGTCATCCACTGGGCGAGTTTAGTTTGACTCAACCATTTCTTAAGTTTTCTTCTGAGTTCCCTACATTCTGACCACTTGTCATCTATTTGGAACTTTAAGAAATCAGAGAAAGATTTGCAGCTTTCCGTCACAATAAACATCATTTCAGTCTGCCATCTTGGATGATGTGGTATTCTTCATGAATGAAATCATAGCAGGCTCAATTTTCATTTTGTCAACCGCTAATACTCTGTACTGCATTTGCGAAAATGTGTGGCACGATCACATCAGCTGTTTTGATCAGGACATGGCATTTAGTAATGTTAACACTTTGGCAAAACAAGCCAAATACGAGCAGGAAGAGCAAATGTGTTCCTTTCAGCCTTCATGGCAGTCAAAGAAGCCTTGGTGTTCATTTGTACCTGGCTTTTCGGTGTCCTCCAACAGCCGCAACTACGGACATGATGTACTGGGAGACTGGTGACATGAAAATAATAAAAAGTAACCTTTCCATTTACATGCTGTACTGTTGACATTCTTCCCTATTGAATGGTCTTGAAAGTAAATTTTGCCAGGGCAAGTTTGTCATCTGGCACACTTGCCCGGCTGATGACTTGGAGAAAAAAACCAATATGGATCCCTGCTGATCATAATTGAGTTTCTGGGCTTTTATTGCTCCTTTATTCCAGTTCACTCAGGAGAACTATGGACTATGAACTTGATTCAGGCAAAGAGATAACTATGTAGTATGACTACATTGTATTATTTTTTACTGAAGGAACTCAAGTTAAAAGATGAGCAGTGCGAGAAGCTATCTCGAGTCAGGAATGAATTAGAAGCAGAGCTAGAAGAACTGACAGCAAGTTTGTTTCAGGTTTGTTTCAAATAGTTTTACACACAGAGACTGGAATCCAGTGAACAGATCTTTGCCATGTACTTTGATAAATATTGTAATTAAGTACTATAAAAATCTTAAAATTTTAATTACGTGCACATGCATCATCTGTCCTCATTGCACCATGGGATGCATATGCTGTAAGGCCTTCACATATGCATGCAACAGTTATTAAGTCTTGTTGTATTACAATCAGGTACGTGCAATGACATTAACTGGATTTGAGAAGAATGATCACATGATTACCAACAAATTGAATAAAATTTGGCATACATATTTGCGAGATAAAGGTAATGCCAGTTTGAACTTGAGCTTAAGTGACTCATGCCCACAGTGGTGTTTAAAAAAATATATGTGATCATTTGGAGAGGATGAAATCTGCCTAGGTAGCTAGTTTTCAAGCTGGTCAACGAACCAGTATTGGAAATGCTGGTTTTTCAGTGGAGAGGGAAAACCCCAAGGGCAGAGCAAGGGCCAATAACCACCTCGATATACACATATCACACTGGGCTGGAATCAAATCTGGATCATATTGGTGCATAGGAGGTGAATGGTCATACATAATGATTTACCTCTATGTTATGCCAGTCCTGCTTCCTGTAAAATCAACAGATATACAATCATGTACTTTTAATTAATATCCTACATGTAGAAACAAAGCAATTCAGCTACGTGTATGTTGCACTACATACAAGTTTATTTTTTGTTTTTTTTTTTTTATCAGGAGGCACACGCTATGGTTCGAGCAGCAAAAGTTAAACAGGTTGGAGCAGAAAAGAGGTTCAAAGAAGCAAATAACAAGGTGGGTGGAAACATGACCCCTTTAAGATCTCAATGTTATTCATGCATGTAGTGTACCATAGAATAATAATAAACCATTAATACTAAAAAAACATCTACAAGGTACACTGCAGTAAATCTGTGTTCCCAAGGGTTTTATTATTATATTAAACCATTATATTATGAGCTCGAGATTTCTATCATGCATGGAAATCGAGAGTGCATGCATCATCTATTGTTTAATAATATAAATCTACTAGTCATTCCAAACTTAATCTTAATCCTCTTCACAGACACTTTGAAAAACACAAAAACTAACTGCCATTTTTTTAACAACTGCGCACTGTTGGGCTACTCACCATAAGTTGGGTAGTATTAAAGGGTTTGATGTGACAACATTGTTTGTGTTGAAGGATGTTACTGCTGCAATACATAGTTTGGTTTAGACATGGTTGAACGTTGGGATTGCAGGAGGCATGGTGGCCTCATGGTTGATGTGCTCAACTCAGGATCGAGCAGTCCAGGTTTGAGTCCTGACCGGGGACATTGTGTTGTGTTCTTGGGCAAACCACTGTACTCTTACAGTGTCTCTCTCCACCCAGGTGTATAAATGGTTACCAGATAAATTGGGGGGGTGGGGGAGGGAGGGTAACCCTGCAATGGACTAGCATCCCATTCAGGCAGCAGTTTAAAATACTCTTAGTTGCTTCATGCTACAGAAACAGTGATAAGCTCCGGCTGATGGGCCACTTGGCTCATATGCAGACTTTACCTTATTATTATTATTATTATTATTATTATTATTAATATTATTATTTTGGGATTGTCCATAATGAATGTTGTGACATGTCATTTTGCTGTTAGGTGGAAGTGCTTCAAGCAGAGGTGACAGCTCTAAAACAGTTGGTGTTGACATCTACTTCAACTCCTGGTCATTCAGGAAGACTTGGTTGGCGACGACACAGCACAGAGCATCTCGCCCCTTGTCCAGATTGTGATTCATATGATTGTGACGCTGCTGTAGCAAGGTTTAATGGAACATGCCTTCAAGGTCCACATCATTCAAAAAATTCACTTGCTGAGGAATCTGAGGTATGTCTTGCTTGCTTGTACACTGTACAATGTATGTTCAGAACTGTAGACTGTCTTAAACTATGTCATTCAAAATAGAGCCAGGATTTAAATGATTCACTGGAATTTCAGACAGAAAATCTCTGAGTTACAGATAGTGATTAATTCTGAATGTTAAGTAGGTAAATAGTATTAATTACAATGTAGAGGGCCAATAGGCAAGAATTATACATATATCCATGTGTATACCTAAGTCACATCTTTTTGAAGTGCAAGTTTACATTATGAGCAGCACAATCACCTGCCTGTATTTTGATAAGAGAATGTCACCTCATGTTTTTCAGGTAGATGTTATTCTTTTTCGAGAGTTCTTGCAGTGGATGGATGAACGTTCTGTGTCCCATGACCAGCCATTTTTAGCCCGGATATACAAGGAAGATGTAGGACCTTGTTTGAACTTTCCCAACAAAGAGGTAGAATATTCTGTGACATTTACACATTCCACATGCATGTATTAAACATTCTATATTTTATGTATGTGATGAATAAATTGTACATGTAGGTCTACCTTTAGGACTGTGTGTGGTAATCATTATGAATATGCAGTGTACCCTTTCTCCATTACATGCCCTTTGACACCCATAAAGCTGTCCAGACATATAGTTCCCCAGTCCAGGAATTCCACAATCCCTTTGACAACCCCCTGTTTGGCTTTGTTATGATAAAGTTGTCTTAAACGCTTTTACCTTCTGGCATCCATGGGTGACCTGATCAGGAGTGATGCACCACCACTGGTATTTATTTGTAATCATACCTTTTTGTATGCTTTGGAAGCATATCAGGTGATTTTGGTTGAGCCATGGTTCATACCATGTATTTTGACTAGACGTAGTTAGATAGATAGAAACTTTATTAAGAATGTCATCAACCACCTAGCTGGGGAAAAAACTCCCCTACTAATACGGGGACATAACAAAAACGAGTTACCCATAGCACCATAGCACTAGCACCGAAATACCCGTAGTGAGACCAAATGAGCGTGATATGCTGCCGAAACGTACTTGTCTAACAAAAAAGGAACAATCACTAGGTATCTGCCATACCAGATTTGGCCAAGATATAAGAGCCATATCAGCTTAGTGACTTAATGTTGGATATCAGGACGGTAGTCAATGGCTTTTGCTTGGCTAATGGCAAACTTGGATACGATAATGAGACAGACAGACCATCCTGGCACAGCCAATCCAATGCCACATATTTTGGAAAGGAAATTGAAAACCTTTTTTTTGTTCTTTTCAGCTGGCTTTGGCAGTACACAGTGCAATTGAAAACAATACTCTAATGATGGAAACTTTCACTGGGAAACCAGTATTTAGGTATGTTGTACTCAATAAATAAATGTGCATTTTTCAGTCAATAACAAGGTAATATACACATGTAATATACACATGTACTTAAGGACATTTGTGCAAAAATTTTCCAACATTGATTTTTTTTTAGACTTTTACCACTGTAAGATAATGAGTTAGTTCTGTCAGAAATGTAAAAAATGGGGGGTCACTGACTTCATTTTGGAGAGAACATGACCGGAAGAACACCCTAAATCTGAAAAAATCGGGCTTCATTAGCGAATAAGGCCACAGTGTCTGTAAGCCCAAAAATATTGCAATTAGATCTTTGAAGTGAAATGTTCTCTGACAAATATTGTTTAAGTAGACATATTAAGTGAATTTAGTCAACTGGTGTACATTAAAGAACAATTTTGCATTTAGCGACCATAGTTTCATGTGCCTTGCAGCCGCAAGATGGCAGGATTTGATGTCCTGTGGACAGGAATCTTAAATTTTTTTTAACTTCCCACATTGATTTTTTGTTCATTTTTGGACAATGTGGAGATAATTGTGAACAAAATCTGTTTCTGGAAAGAAAAGTAGGGGTCACCGAAAGTCCAAGATCGTGAAATCTAAGCAATGCCCATCTGCGCTATCATTGTTCATTTTATTACTTAGCACAGGTGCTCATGCATGACATGGCATGTGAATTTGCGTGTGCAGTAAGGATGCGCAGAAAGTGCAATGTCACATCAACCTCAACTTCCAGTTTTACACTGACAATTGTTGATTTCTTTATGTAATTAAAGGATATCTATCAGTCTGCCTTGTATCTTTTTATCTTTTTTCTGTGTTTGTCTGTATATCTGCTGCCTGCCTGTGTATCTTCAGTATCAAAATTGAACTGTGTGCATTATTGACTGTAACTGTTGCTGTAGACAGAGGTAAAGATTTTACTCCCAAAATGCACACCAGCTACTACATGTCCCCTACTAAAAAATCCAACCATTTTGTGGACGTACCACAGTTCTTAAATTAAGACAACAACAAGCTCAAGTGACCATGCTTATCAAGCTTAAGACTAAGTGCCCCCAATAAGGTTGCCTTTTTAAGTTACTAACAGTTAAGTTATATTTTATTATTAATGCAAGTAGTTCATATACCTGTAATAGCCCCTAAAAATCAAATGACATGTCAAAGAGTTTCTTATTGTTTTCTCTTTTTTTTTTTGCAGAAAGTGTGCATTAACTGGAACATCACGATTGTGCCTTCATCGTGTGAAGTTATCAGAAAAAGGTGATTGGCATAATCTCAGTCGGAACAGTAGAGTTAGGGTGAGTTGATCCACCTTATTTTTGTGATCTTGTCTTTGAAATTGGGAGCCTAGGTTTTATCATTTACACCCCTATTACTTATGTGGCTATTTTCTCACTCTGGGTTTTTCTGCTTCTCGGTAGCCAATCAAAATTTGAAACTCTTAGTAGTCTGTTGTAATATTGTTGACTCATGCTACTTAAATCTTCATTAAGATTTATTATATGGCTGCTGTTTGGAGGCTTATAATAAACAGCTTAATAGACATTTTTAGCTTGGGCGGTTTGTTGCCCCATTTCAGACCATGGGTGATACCCTTGGGAATTTTTGTTTTCAAATTGTCAAAAAGTTGCATGTATATTAATGAATAATTTTTAAGAACAACTCTCTAGAGAATATCATGTGGTCTGTAATAGAAACAAATGGCCCACGCTAAAAAGGTCTATTATGTACTTGTATGACAACTGCTTGGGAGCCCTAAACCGTTCATTTGTATTTTATTACCATTCATTTTATTTTATATGTCCTTTTTCAGATTGTAGCAGTTTGTGATTTTTACACATATGTGCGGTACATTCAGCAAGGCCTTGTTAAGGCAGATGGTAAGCCTTTGAATTACCAAAATAGTGTACCTGTTGTAGTTCAATTTTTACCTGAGAACAATTTGTTTGTGAACCACTGCAAAGCAAAGTTGACAACACTTGCATGCATGCGAGTTCTGCAAGGGATTCTTTTTGTTTCTGTATAAAAGTTGAGTGTTATCTTTTGAATGTTGGCTACAAGAACAAAACTTGGGATTGCAGTTACATGATTATATGCTGCATTGCAATCCAAAATGAAAATTAAAAGTGAGAAATTCTACAGTGAAAGAGCAAGTCAACAACACATTGATATTGCTCAAAATGACATAATATCAAACTGTCCGGTGGCATCTGTAAAGATTTAATATGCTAGATAGCACTTTTATAAGAATTAATACCATTTCCTGGATTTGAAGTGATTTTGAGTAAATCACTTGTTATAACTTGTTTGTTTATTTATTCGTTTTATTATAATCAATTTTATTGTGTTGAAGATACAGAGGCATATCGTTTTGCTATACTGCAGAGAAATCTGAATTACCACTTAAGAATTTAGCGCAATGCCACTGCAGGACAACGCGTGACTGCTGTAACATGCCTTCCAATTCTTTACAGCTGCTGTCACAGTGAAGACAAGTTGGAGGAAACATAGAACTTGAAATCATTCATCTTACAACTTGTCTGGCAATGCTGTTGAATTTCTGTTTGTGTTGAAATAATGTTTATTTTATTTCTTCATTCCCTAGTGACCGAGATATACTGGGAACTAATGCGACTAAGGAGCCAAATGGCGCTTGCTCGGTTAGGAATGGAAACCACAGTGAAAGTTCAAAGGAGCAGTGGTCACTCTTAACAATGCTTGCTGACTGATTGCAAATAATTGCTGGGATCTGTAAGTTAAAGTTTGCATGTGCATTTGATCTACTGGATTTGCATACAGCTGCTTTGGATTCCGTGGAGTGCTGATATGGGAATTAAATATTGAAACTGTCCTCGGCCTTGAGAGGGAAAAGCCGAGAGAGAATTTAACAGGAGTTTAATAACTTCATACCTACTTTCACTGAATTCTAGAAAATATTTATACAATGTAATTCTCTTTTAATGTAAGTTTTACTATATACGTGCAGAAGAGAATGAAACTTGTATAAAGTAAACTACATTTTCCTGAATATTTTAAACAGAATTCTTATGGAATGTACAGTTTGTAACCCAAAGTGGTAAACGTTCACATTGGGGATATTTTAGTTTAGGTTCACTTCTTATATTTAAACGTATCCATTTAAATATTGGTACCAGTTCTTTCTCTTGTGTGCTATCGCGTAAGGGAACTTGAGTTAGCTCACTCAATAAGAGCGAATTGTCGAATAAGAAATTTTAGACAGGATAAAAGGGTGTCATTAATTTTTAATTGTTGGATTTTTTAATCTCAATTCATCATCCTCAAGTAAAGCAGTGCATAGCCTGCGTCGCAGACAGTCTATACCGAGGATTTTGTGACACGTCCGGCTGCAACGCAGACTAGCTAGCAATGCATAATACTGCTTGGGTAATTTTTTACATTAGTTTTTTAATCACTTAGTTTCTATTTTTCTATACGAGACTTCTCAGTCATCTGTACAAAGTCTTTTGACGAGCAGCTAGAATGTAATAAACAGTTTAGTTTTAAGTCTCGACTCCCGTTTATTGTAATATTCCCTGGTTCCTTTTCGGTGTCGTCATGATTAGGACGCTGGTCTCCGGATCGAGCGGTCTGGGTTCGAGCCCTGGCCGGGGACATAACTTTGTGCTCTTGGGCAAGACACTTTACTCTCACAGCGCCTCTCTCCACCCAGGTGTATAAATGGGTACCGGCGAACTTAATGCTGGGGGTAACCCTGCGATGGACTGCATCCCATCCAAGGGGGAGTAGAAATACTCCTAGTCGCTTCATGCTACAGAAACCGGGATAAGCTCCGGCCTGATGGGCCATTTAGCTCGTATAAACTTTACCGTTACTTATCATTAGCTCCTGTTTTAGAGCCTTTTTACTTGTCGCTGTCGTGAGACTAGATGACGCTTTGTTGCGTCTGGGCTAGTGAATTCTATAACCCTCTGTGTGTAGTGGTTCCATCGATTCATTGAGTCCTCATTCTTAGCATGAATGTAGACTTAAGCAAGAGGAAGCGTTAAACGTTTTATTTACATACATGCATAAGGCGATCGTGACGTCATTACGTCATCATATAATCGCCTTGACAGGACCACTTCTTGCATGAAATATCTTAACCCTTCGATAACGTTTACGTTCCCTGGTTTGGAAGTATGTGTCTTTATTACGGCCAAGGCGAGACGATTTACGAGTTGAGAACATATACTGTTCCGTCTCTTCCCCGTCCGTTTATTTTGCAATTTTAATTCGTGATGAAAATATGTTATGTCTTAGTCTATAAATGACGTACAGACTGCCATTACATTTTTCGAAGTTATTGTTTTACCCTACGGCTACTAAATGAGAAGCGATTTCGTCGCGCAGTTATTAAAACAAGCTTTTTGAATTATTTATGTTTTATAGCGGATGTTCAGTCCTGATAATGTAAGGTTTTCTGCGGAACGGAATGACATTTTTTTTCGTGCATGGAGAATAGTTTTTTGCGATTTCGTGGGACCGTTATTTTTTAGTACAAGAGGATTTCTTTAGAGTCGTGGGCTGACAGTGCTACCCTAAAAGTGATCTGTGAACTTGTATTTGTGAAATGCAAATTAGACTACCTGTGCGATAAAGTCATAAATAATTATTCCTTTTACATAATATGAACTTTGCGTGTCGTTCTTTTGTCTTAAGTTTGCATTTCTATGTCACAGTGGAATAAAAATTGGAATTGATCGCACTTTGTTGATCTGAATGAGTCTTACAGCTGTAAAGCAAACTAAACATTTCATTCTGGCTTGGACTGGTGTAACCATAACACAGGAGTAAATGTCGCACACAGCTTGTTATTTCATATTTCTGCACTTAAACGACTGCAAACCAATCGGTTTCGAAGAAGTTAAGGTGGAAATTCAATTCTAATGGAAAAGCCAAAATTGAGATGGAAATTTCTGCTTGTTCACATTTTTCCTGATTGGTGTAATTTAGCGGCAACGTTTGCAAAGGTTTGATTCTATTAATTTAAAAAATTAAAAAATAAACTAGAATTTAAAAGATTTGGGGTAGGTTGGCTGTGTAATATACAGTATTTTTAATTTATCTGACGCAAACTGCGTTTTCACTTAACAATGTCTTCTGAGAGGGCGACCAACACAGCGTGTGGCTTAAATTGAACACAATAGGTATTATTGTAGGAAAAGAAACCATGTAAATCGTGTTCCACAGTTGCCACAATATGGAGCTTGCTAATCTACTGGAGAACGGCCTTGATTGATAGTTTATCGCTAATAAATTATATTGGTTAAATTAAACTGAAAGCGTTAATTTTGAAACGGGTACCACGTTCATAATTTTTCGCAAAAATATTACATGTAAACCTATTTAATTTTACCGGAGTTGTACTTAATATGTGAGTTGCATCCCTCTGTTTAATACTCGCTTCTACTCGCTAATTATACATATATTTTGTCGGTGTACTTTGACAGCAACTTGCAGTTATTACAAAGCACGTAGTGGAGTTTTACATTCACTTGTGAATAACATTTGTAAAGTATCTAATACTGTCAAGTTTGCTAAGGCCGGGCTCTTTCTTGGAATATTGCACGTCATTTCTACTTCATAGGTACCTTTCAATTCTCTTTGCCTCTTGAGTTTGTAATCAGAGTGCATTTAGGAAAAGGTTTTATTAAAGCGCGGTTATCTCGTGGCAGGTGTTGACTCTTAAAGACATGAAAAAAAAAAAAAAAACATTTTTATCGCCGTAAATGCAAATTGTGTTAAGATATTACGACGTTATCTTTTAACGAAAATTTCTAGATATGACTGGAAAGTGATTTTCATCTTTTTTTTTTTTTTTTTTCATTTTCTCGTAAAGATTTTGATTGTTAGCAGTGTTTGACTTGGGTGGTTTGTTATTGCGAAGTGTGAGAGTTGTTTACTTAGTCATACAAAAGCTCTGGAGGTGAAAAACGAAATGTTCCGCCTTGTGGGATCTGGCTAGCCGAATCTGGAGGGCAAATAATGGCTGTCTTGTATGTCAGACACATTTGGTAATTCGGCCAATCGGTTGCGCGACCATTGACGCCACGGACGTATCAGAACAAGGTTCATTTCGCAATTTGTTTTAGCAGGTGAAAGTTTCACTCCAGGAGACCAATCAGTCGACCGCGGAGAGTTAGACACTGTCACGTAGAAACTACGCACCGAGGTGCCGGTGTGAAGGGAGAAGACGCCAAAGGAAAAAAACACGAATGGCGATTTAACGGTTCACTGGGGGTTTGCAGACGCGGCAATATGTTTAGTAACGGAACCGCAGAGTATAGAAAGCTAATTCTTTCTCCAGGATTTAAAATAACTATTATAACTGTACTGGTATTGGAAATTGTCCTCGGCATTGTAGCTAGCTGTACAGTTTTGCTGATCTACTGGAACAAGAGGAATGTCCGAAGCGTTGCTACAAAGTTCATCGCAAACCTGGCGCTGATTGACTTGATAATCTGCTGTGTTTGCGCGCCGTTCACTGTCGCTCGTTTAGCAGGATTTCCTCATCATTCGACTCTGTTCTGTTGTTGGCACGAGTCTGTTACATCAGGTCTGAGAAACGCTTCGTTCCTAACCCTGCTCCTAATTTGTTACGACCGTTACAAGTCAGTTACAAATCCCTTTGTGCTGAGACTGAACCACCGCAAGGCTAAGCGGGCCTTGTTATTGCTGTGGTTCCTAACTATCGTTAGCCTTGCGGCACCTTTTGTAGAATGGCAGCAAAGGACTAAGAACACCAGGCACTTAGCTTGCACACTGATGTTCAGCAAATCCCAACAACCTTTCTACGTTCGTCTCTACTATTTACCGTCGTTTGTCCTTGCATGTGCGATTTTATTGCCCGCGTACTTGCGGATATCAAAAGCTGCGCTTTCCAGAGTTCACATTCAAGCCATGTTGGTGAGAACATCGTTCGTAGTACCTGCGTCGACAGCGCAACGGTGGAATCAGGCGATGGTGCGTCAGAAAGAGTGGAAGATCGCCAAGATGACAGGAGCAGTCGTTTGTTCTGTTTGCGTTTTATGGCTGCCATATACGGCTTTAACATTCGCTATGCATTTTTTAGTGGCCTCTACTCTCCTGGCTCGTTTGGAGTTCCTGTTTTTAGCGCTCGGGTACTTTAACTGTGTGTTAAACCCTCTACTGTACGCCTTCACAAAAGAAAAATTTCGCACTGCGTTCATGAGAACTTTGCCGTGCAAGCAGAAATAACGGCGCACAAGAAAAAGTGTACTTGTATGTTTTAGTTAAGACATTAAACCGTCGTTCGTCGTCTTGTTTACGTTAGGAACTTTGTTAATTCTGCCCACCTTTATCGTGATTTGAAATTCCTTATCGGCTGAGTGGAAGTGTAACGAAAGAGCTAAAAAGCTTTAGGCACTTCTGCTTATTTCGCTGCCGTTGAGATTATTCCTTTAAGAAATTTGTAATAACCCAGTAACGAATGCGAAATTAGCGTGTATTTGCTTTTCTTAAGGACTTTTCGTATCCTTTCAAATTAGTGGAGTTCTTAGACTATTGTGGTCGGTTATCCTTTCGCCTTCAATCTTTAGTGCAGACAGATTCATCATTATTTTTATACGAACAATAACGAAATCTTCTTACTGCCCTTACAAAGCACCAGATAAACTTCTAGTATCGTGTTTCGGGATACAGTTCAATTTATTGGCAAAACGATGAAAAATGCAAATTCAGAGTTAAAACACATAATCCTCGCAGATGGCAAGCAGAATACACTTGAATGTGTTTCACCATTTGCATTTTGGTGCGTATCCATTAAATAATACATTATAAACATTTCATTTATGTTACTAATTTTGAGCCCATAATCCCATCGACTGCATGTGCTTTAGAAACAACACACGATGCAGCTTTTTTTCCTTGTCGTTCACAATGTCTTCCCCGTGGCCTGTGTTTCCTGCAAGGTGAAATCTATACGAAAACTTATCGCATAATTTAAATTGGAATTGCAAAGAATACGTTGAAATCAAGTCGAAGCCTTGGTTTCATTTGTCCGTGTCAAGGAAAATAAAAGAGATAAAATAGCCGTCACTCTCAAATAAGACACTTCTCATTAAATTATTATCGTCGGCGGCTCTGTGCACAGCCGTAAATAATTTAACACTCTAAGTGAAACAATTAAAGTCGCAGGTCTTCATCGGAGTTTTCAATATCAAGCTGCTTTAAAAGGGGCGTCATAGAGGTGAATTCGTTTCAAATGGGATCAAAGACAAGGGAGGAATAATTAGAAAGTGAGAAGCTGAAATATGCGCCACCAGACGGACCTCCCTTAGATGAGAACTCTATGGGTGGCTGTCTTTCGTGTTGAAAATCTATTCAGAATTCACTTTAAATTTTAATTTGAAATCACCATTGCTTGTATAAATATTCATTTTTCATAATTATCGCGGTTTCCAGAGGTATCTATTAGCCCCTCTCTCTTATAATACCCCAAATTAGCATGACTTAACATTCCGTTTCTTGGACGTACGCATTCTCGCCCCCAAAACGAGCAGCACTGGGAACGAGAATGGAACCTACTTCAAACATTGAGTGACGCGATTTACTGCGCATGCCTTATTGACGCACATGAAAGATAAATTGTAAGGCAATGGTACGTTTGTAAATAGTTTTCAGTCTTGGAGCTATTTTTATCCTTGTGAATGCTCTGAACTTTTTTTTGTATCATTGTTGGTCACCGATAATTCTCAGCGTTTCTTTTGACTGGTTTATCGGCTTTTTATCTAGATAAATAAAGTTAATTCCAGATACACACCTGTGTAAAGGATTGAATTGTTGAGATTGTAACCACTTCAGCGGGAAATGCTGTTCGGAATAGTCAGAATGGGGTGGATTAAATTCATTCGATTTTGATGATGTCGATGATTGTTGATCATCCGTCGCAACTTGCACTGAAAATGGCGGCCGCTTGAAGTACAGAGAAACAACTTGAAGTACAAGAAACAACGACGAACAACCACAGTTACGAGGCCCTAATACTGCACTGTTCACCTTTACTGAGCATCAATATTAGCGCGTCCTAAAAAGCGCACATTATGAACACAATTGTCTTCAGTTGTCTGCTTCTTTGAGAGGTCAGTGATCGTTCACTCAAACGAGAGTGATAGCCTGTCTCTTGCTAGTTTTCCCAGAAGGCCGGGTAAATAATTACTGGGAACTTGGACTTACTTAGTTCATTAATTGTAACCTCGAAAACAAGGCTTTCCGGAGGAACGTGTTCCTTCATCGTGAGAGTCATGTTCAGCTTTTTTTTTAACGTTGCATAGTAGTGTAGTTGTCTGGGTGTCCACAGAGTAGCCTGCGTAATGGCCGTTTCATTCTGATAGCGGGAGAAGCGCATTACTTCAGGCGCCTCTCTTACAGCGCTCTGAAAGGAGGCGAAAAAATGGCTTTCGCAATTATGGTGACTTATTCTCTATGTTCTTTCGCGACATTTGCGCGCAATCATGAATAGCTTCCGAAAATTTCCACATTTGTAACTTCAAGTGAATCGCCTTGCGCGTGCCGACCTGTTAGTGATAGCCACTGTTGCTATAATTAAATGACTTTTAAGCCACACTCAGAGAATGTCAACCTTAAAGTTTAAGTATATATACATCGAATGTAGGGGTAAAAGAGTCACGGTATATCGAGTCTCTACATACATACACATACATGATACACTTCATTTAATCTCAGAGTAGATAGACTTAGCAGATATCTCCGAGAAAAAGTAAAAATACAGGGTTAAAAATACTACATGGCTAAATAATTACGTCTTATGATATTATTATTATTATTATTATTATTATTATTATGTAATGATTACTTTAATTATAGAATATGATAACCTCTAGTACAAATTGCGCATAAACTTAGAATTGCGGACAAGCCGCTCGAAGTCATTATAAGAACTTACTGATCAGTTTCGAGGCAACATAACGAGAAGAATTTAGACCATAGGAAGTTGTAGACGTCTTGGGAAGAGATGGAATGTTACTGCCTCTTAAGGGCCTTAAAGAATACGAAACAGTGCGTAAAGAGAACATTTGTTTCGTGTATGCGGGATACCTGACTTTGATCACCAAGAAACCGAAAAATATATTGCAATAATTCAAACTAGACATACAGATCATAGTAGTAATATGACCATCTCGAATATTGCCGAGAGGGAAAGACAACCAGGAAAAAATACAGTGGTTTTACACTGTAACTGTGATTTGAAGGGGTACGTAAACTGTAATATCATGAATGTCTTGAGGAGGCATATGACTATTTTTTATGCTTTCTTCTTTTCCGCAAATATAAGACGTTCTTTACCAATGTTTTTTGCTTCTTCTCTTTCATACCTTCACTATCTTTGGGTATATTTAGGAATTCACAACGCGACCAGCTCCCATTTAGCCTCATAGCTCAGTTGCAGCTGGAAAAGCACTGCGGCATGGGTTCGAATGTCGTTCAAGCCTGAATTTTTATGCAGCTGCCTAAGTTGTATACATAACTGAACTGCGATAATCACTGTCTCCTGTCCTAAAAGGGTTTTGTTTTGTTACCGTGACCGCATTCGTTGTGTTTCAAGTCTTGACCCTTTTTACTAACCCATAAGTTCGGCTCCCTGTGGGTAAACTTGCACGGTACACCCTGGTAAGTTTGTAGTAGCGATTAAAGTAAGCTTTCACAGGGACGGGGAGGGGGAGGAGTTGGTCAGTTGGGCTGTAGCCCTACCACTTTTATTGCTGAGATTTATTTTCTAGGGCTCCAGATGGCGCGCAAATGCAAGATAAACAAAATGGCGAAACACTGACCTTAACGTTTGTTTGTATTGGTCAAATTTTTTTAGCCCTACCACATTAAAATGGTCTCCGCGGTCCCTGTTTAAGAGAAATTCTGTAATGAGACGTATGCGTTTTGGCATTACCGAGTGTAAAGAATAGCAGTTTGATCAGTGCTAGTTTTCTGTGCTCTGAAGAAGCAGTCTTGTGCCGAAACGTCGCTCTTTTATTTTTGACTTCTCATAGCGTAAGAATATTCAAGATTTCTCAAAGGCGTACTAGCTCAGATTAGTGCTAATACATGAGTTCTCTCTCTTCTGGGCTCATTTTCTCTTTATTTGCTGAATTACTACTCGGGAGAAGTTTTCAGTTTATGACCAGTTTCTTTATTTAGCTCAGTACAGTTATTATAATTAAATTCTTGTACCTAATCGTACCTTTTTGGTGCGTTTCGGCCGCCGTTCAGGCTTCGATTAGAAGAGTTTGGTCGCCAAAGCGTAGCAAAGAAAGGCACGATGAGGTATTTACTGTACTCAAATTCGGCCAAGTGACCATGATATCGTAGCTAGCCGTATCGTAGGATATCAGGACAGTGGACAGGGGTTCTCAGTGATTGGCCAATTGTGAATTTGGGGTCCGGTAATCCCAAATATTGCTACAGTACAAAAAAAGGTAAGGAGGCCAAAGTGCTGAAAGTGTAGAGCACCTGAGAGTTAACTTAGCTATGAGCTCTATAAATCTTGACCTAAAATTAGGCAAATAATCATAAGCGTATTTCTGTGTCCTTGGAGACGGTGCGATACTTGCTTGAGTGGACATCTGACAGCTTGTTTGGTAACCAAGAAGTGGGCAAAATTTCCGCTATAGTCGGATGGATGACATGGCATTTTTTTCATCTCCACTTGAACCAACCAAAACAAACTGGACCGCAAGGAATGCTTATCCGCTTGGCTGCTATGCACACCTGTGGTAACATGTGTAGTTTGTGCAACGATATAACGAAAAGACTTGCAGTTCAAGTCTGTAGAGTCTGTGTAGAAAATTCTAGACTAACTGAGAGCTGAGAAACGATAAGGGGCAAATTGGTGCACGTTCCCTGAGACGTTAAACCTCAAATGCTACGCCTCGTTGATACGCGTATCATTTTCCGTTATAGCAAATATCAATCTCGCGGCCACGATGTCGTTCGTCATCACATACACACACGCACACACACACTCTCTCTCTCTCTCTTCCGCGTGGTTTTTGTTGACTTCGTTTCCCCTCTATGGTGACCTTTGCTTGCCCGGGAAGACGTGAGTCATTGACAAACTAAACGTTAATCTCGGATTAAATTTTTTCAAACAGTTACTACGGCCATTTATTTATACCCAGTACACGGAAACGATTTTTGATCGAGTCGTGTAGCTAGGGAAAAAAGAACTCAGCATGACGATGCTTTGATTGGGTTGGCTCAAACAAGGTCACTTGTCGCGAGTGGATTTAACGTTGCACAAATATCAGCACGCTCTTGCGTGAAAATTACTTATTACGAAAGCAATTAACCAGATATTATTATCATGTTAATTAAGCATTCGTACGCTTGAACGAGCTCTTTGTGACGGAGGTAGAAAGTAATTTAACTTCGAAAACACAAGAGTATAAAACATTCCAAAACGCCTTAATCGCCCCTCATTCAGAAGCGCTCGAGCAACATGGACGGAGTCGATGAAGAACATTTGAAAAAATGCCGCTGGATTCGCGTCGACTGGCTCTGGTCGAAGATCGGACGGGTTAATGTGGGAATTTTCCTGAGGTTTAACCCAGTGGTCAGCTTGCTGTCGGCTGTCATAATATGGGGTTTTGTAGCTTGGTGTATGGCAGAGTCAGATGCTGCCAACGAAGAGATGGGCAGGTGGAAGATCTGGATCACGGAGAAGTTCACTTGGATGTACATCGGAACTCAGGATATCTGGGCTGTGATCATCCTCATGCTTTACTTTTCCAAGTACTCCAACATGAAGCTGGGAAGAGATGACGAGGAACCCGAGTTCAACGATGCCACCTACTTCACGATGTTGTTTGCGGCTGGCATTGGGATTGGCTTGTTTTACTTCGGAGTTGGTAAGTTAGTTGTTTAACATCACTCTTTATCTTGTCTCTTGTTATTTTGCATTTCTTTTCTTGTTTTTAGCAGTTCAAATAAAGTGCAAGTGGAGTAGTTTGAAATTTCGTCTTTTTTGGTGTTCGATTACTCGAACTTTCGAGATTTTCGATGAGCCCATTGCTCCGAAGACAACCGAAGCGAAGCGCTTAAAAAATAATCATACACTTCACGAACGTCACAGGACCTATCATAAAGCGCGATCATGATTCCAGTCTTTTCTTGACAACGCTATGCATGGAAAGAGTTCCAAGGGATTGGAAAAATGTCTTGATCGAAAAAACGAGAGCGCACGTTGACTGATTTTTTGAGGCTGCTTAAATATGTATACTCTAGAGAATACTATGCACTTGTAGACTGAATATCAAGAACAATCCATCTTTGAAAAACTGTTATGTCATTGCTGGAAGATTCCACTCAAAGAAAATTCGAAAGAAGCTTTCTTCTGGCGAAGTGCCCACGCAGCGTCTTAAACACAATAAGAGATTACTTGGTACGGAAGACTGCTGGAAAAGTGAAAATAGCGTTAGAAGCGAGATACTCGACAATAATTATTATTTGCCATCAGTAATAAATTCCCCTGAGAACAAAATGCTTTGACAGCAGAAACTAACGACACAAAAGCGAAGACCGCCACAGGCTGTTTGCCCTTTTTACTAACGAGTGGCTCAAAACATAGCAATAAAGCGTATAGCGAAACATCTGATTATGTAAATTGTATGTCCTGCCAGTGTTTAAATTCCTGTGCAAAGATGTAAACCAAAAATTGTGACAGCAAGACAGGAAGACTGGACAAAAAAAAACTGCTTCGTCATAATCCTTAACTTGGACAGATAATAAGTCGAATTTTCACATTAATTGACGCACAAAAGCTCCGTTATGTTTGATTGCGCAAAGCACCTTGTGTTGTTTTTCAACACGCAATGAAAAGTTCCTGCTTGTTGTGGTTTAATATTGATACCGTTTTTCTTGTGGTTATTTTAGAACAGATCATAGAAAATCAAGGAAAAAACTGACAACGGGTATTTCAAACAAATCAGAGTGCATACACTGCTATTTGTCGGAGTACAGAAAGTTGTTAGGCACGTAATATCCAGATTGCTAGACGTTTTTCAAGATTTCGTCAATAAAGGTGGTTACAGGTCATGGCATGCAGTCACGTCTTTTGACGGGAAAGTACTGCTCGTAAAATCTGTCAGTTAATATGTGTGACAGTGGGCAAACTGTAAGCACCAGGAGAATGCTGATTAATTGGACAACGATCATTTTTTACCACCCTCAATCATTTGCACGCTAAGTGTTCAGGTACCGGAAAGCTAAATCAATATTGACTCTTGCCTTATGCGTAATATTCGGTGCTAAGGGTGACTACCCGCTGCTGACAAAAATAGAACTAAAAATAGTTGAAATGCTTCCACAGCTAAGCCGCAGCAGGCCTGTATTTGCATATGAATTCAGTTGTTTCACTGTCTATCTAGTTGTACGAAGCTAAAAGGATAATATTTTCACATCTGACAAAAGTTGCAATTTTGAATATTCACCCCCAAAACATGTTTTCACGTGTACCTCGTTGAAAAGCTGCTAGTCTCGGTTACAGTTTGCTTCGGACTTCATTCTATTTTACCACGTCAAGGACAAAGCTTTGTTTTGACGGTTGCGTGGTGATGTGATTGAATTAACTTTAGGGACAATTTGGTCATTGTTTGTTGTCCAAAGTAGACATAACTTTCGATTGTCATTTTATTTTTCAAAAGAAGTTGAACGTCGATGGATTTTACCGAACTATAACCACATAACTCCCGGGATATAACCCCCGGGATATAACCCCCGGGATATAACCCCCGGGATATAACCCCCGGGATATAACCATCGATTTCTTATCTGCCCAAAACCTAAAACTGCAGGTGCTTTCAGCGCAGGACGTTTCGGGCGCTTCTAACACTTTTTTGTCTTACTCAGAGGCCAGCATGAAAGGAGGTTGTTTCTTAATATGCGAAAACACTACGATTTCATTTTTTTTCTCAAGTCTCATATTGAAGGCTATTCTCAGTCAGGTGCAGAAGAACCGAGAGGCCTGGTCCGACAATAACGATAAAGTAATTGCTTGAAATGTTCAACGCTTAACTCAGTTCTCTTCTGTAATCGAAGCAAGAAGACTCTTGTTAGTGAGTGCGATCAAAACACGAACGAATTAAACGATCAAGTACGTTCAATGCGAGAAGTAACTTCATTGCAAATTGCAGTTAAATGTTCATTTCCCCCAACTTATTTGGGACAACGTCTCTCATGCACTCCCCCTTAGTGAAAAAAAAAAGACCCCTAGATTCATCAGTCACTGTGAAAGTTATTTTTGAACCCTGGATGGAATGATACAAAGAGTTCAGTAATCTCCATGCTCATTTCAGTGCTAACTATACTTGATTAATTGGAAA